TTGGCAAAATGTCTCAACAATTGCAGACTCATTTAAATTCCTGTGACTATGCCTGTTACGAAACTAGCTATGCTTAATACGTTCTCCTAGATAATATGATTTATATCTTAATTTATATCTTAGATTTTAAATATACTATTAATCCTGGAAATTATTTTGCTTAACCGTGGAATTTTTACCACGAATTTATATTTCTTGTGGCTCACATTAGCAGAAATTTTTTAAAAGAAGGATACAAGGTTTTGACCAGTTCTCTTTCCTACTAATTTCGGATAGATAAAGAAATTGCCATGAGAAAAAATACTTGTGTTCGTCTCACACCAGAAATGTTTCAGTGATCTCTTTCATGTCAAGTTACAATCTTACATTTACAGGGGTAAGCTAGATTATTGCATGAAGGGCTCAGAATGTACTACTGTAATGTTACTTCGCAGTCATAAATTATTCACGGAATATTTCACTAACCATACTGCACAACTGCAGTTGCAGTTTTAGATTTTCCTTCCACTTGTCTGATGTCCTCTTCTGACGCAGATTGTGTTAGTTAACGAGGCTGCGTAACAAATTACCCCACAACTTAGTGGCTTGAAGCAACATTTATTATCTTAGAGTCATTTCTGAGTTGGAATCTATGTGCAGCTTATCTTTAGACTTGGGGATCTTTCACAAGGCTGTGATCAAGGAGTTTGCTAGGGCTACCATCATCTCAAACCTCAAGCATGGAAGAACCTGCTTTAAGCTTGTTTAAGTGGCTGTGGCAGGCCTCGGATCCTCACTGGCTGTTGAAGATACCAATACCTTGCCATGTGAGCTTCTTCTTTTTTTTAAATTTCTTAATCGGAGGATGATTGTTTTACAATGTTGTATTAGTTTCCGCCTCATAACGACACAAATCAATGATAATTATCTATATAACCCCTCTGTCTTGAGCCTCCCTAGCCCCTCCCATCATACCCCTCTAGGTTGTCACAGAGCACCAGGCTGGGGTCCCCTGTGTTACAAAGCAGCTTCCCACTAGCAGTCAATTTTGCACAGCCACATGAGTTTCTATATAGGGCTACTCTCCAAGAGGGAGAGAGCAACAGATGCACAGAGAAGGTAAGGGGTGTAGTCTGAATGCTTGTGTCCCCCCAAATCCATGTGTTGACACCTAACCCCTAAGGTGATGGTATTCGAAAGTGGGGCCTTTGGAAGGTGATTAGGTGATGAGGCCCCTTAAGAAAGCTGTTGAGGGGTTTCCTTGGTGGTTCAGTGGTAATGAGCTCTCCTGCTGATGTGGTTAGATCCCTGGTCTGGGAAAATCCCACATGCCACAGGGCAACTAAGCCCGCACACCATAACTACTGAACCTGCTCTCGAGCCCCAGGGAAGCGCAACTAATGAGCCCCCAAGCCACAACTACTGAAGCCCGAGAGCCCTAGGGCCCATGCTCTGCAACAAGAGAAGCCACCGCAATGACAAATGAAAAGGAACCCCCAATCGCCACAACTAGAGAAGAGCCCACGAAGAAAGGAAGACCCAGCACAACCAAAAATAAATAATTAATTTTTAAAAAGCCACTTAGAAAGCCCCCTTGTTCCTTCCACTCTGTGAGGATACAAGAAGCCGGCTATTTGCAACCCAGACGAGGGCTCTCACCAGACTAACCATGCCGGCATCCTGACCTTGTTCTTTCAGCTTCCAAGACTGTAAGCAATAAACTTCTGCTGTTTATAAGTTACCCAGTTCTATAGTATTTTGTTATAGCAGCCCGAACAGACTAGTCTAAGACACAGTCTTTTTATAACCTAATCTTGGAAATGACATTGCATCACTTTGGCCATACTCTGTTTGTTAGAATCAAGTAACCATGATCAGCCCACACCCGAGGGAAGGGGAGGACAGGAAGTCATCTCAGAACTTGTCTGCCTCACAAGAATGCATTTAAAGCAGTGCTTCTCAAACTAATCCTGGTCATAGATCAGTTTTCTTTCCCCAGTTATAGGTCGGTACTTTTGTACAATAAAAAAATTCATTTCTAGAAAAATTAAGCAACTACAGTATATAAAAGCAAACCCATTGATCATGGCTTGGTTGTTACAACAATGTCAAAAGACTGTAAACATTTCTAAACATTCAATTCTATTACTTACCTCATCTGGACCAGAAACAGTTTATGGACTAATCTCAGTTATGGACCATCCTTTGAGTGGCACTGGTTTAAAGATTCGAATAAACACAGATGACTTTCCAAGGCTTTTACAAGTCAGCGATCCATACTTTTCACTTGGCTATTCCTGGGAAGAGGGATTCTAGAAAAAAAATTTTTTAAATCTCAAACAAACAAAAAACCCATTCTCCACTCTCTGACTTCCTAAAAATGGGATCTTTCGTTATGTTGAAGGTCAAAGGTATGTAGGATTGATTATGAGTCCCTTGTTTAATATTTGACCTCAAGGTCCTTTCTGTGCCTCATTCTCACCAGTCTGTAAGCCACAGATTTGAATTGTGCAGTCTGACTCAACATTAAAAAACTAAGATCATGGCATCTGGTCCCATCACTTTATAGAAAATAGAAGGGGAAAAAGTGGAAGCAGTGACAGATTTTATTTTCTTGGGCTCCAAAATCACTGCAGACAGTGACTGCAGCCATGAAATTAAAAGATGCTTGATTCTTGGAAGGAAAGCTATGACAAACCTAGACAGTGTATTAAAAAGTAGAGATATCACTTTACCAACAAAGGTCCATATAGTCAAAGCTATGGTTTTTCCAATAATCATGTATGGATGTGAGAATTGGACTATAAAGAAGACTAAGTGCTGAAGATTTAATGCTTTTGAATTGTGGTGCTAGAGAAGACTCTTGAATGTCCCTTGGACCGTGAGGAGATCAAACCAGTCAATCGTAAAGGAAATTAACCCTGAATATTCATTGGAAGGACTGATGCTGAAGCTGAAACTCCAATATTTTGGCCACCTGATTCGACGAGTCAACTCACTGGAAAAGACCCAAATGCTGGGAAAGATGAAGGCAAAAGGAGAAGGGGCGGCAGAAGAGGATGAGATGGTTAATAGCATTACCGACTCAACGGACACAAATCTGAGCAAACTCTGGAAGAGATTGAAGAACAGAGGAGCCTGATGGCTGTAGTCTGTGGGGTCTCAAAGATTCAGATGCAACTTAGTGACTGAACTACAAGTCTGACAGATACTATCATTATCAGCTCACATTTTACAGGTGAGGAGTCAGCCCCTTCCCCAACTATATCAGGAAGTTTGAAGGTCCTTCCTCTTGTTCATCTATTCGGATCCTTCAAAACACATCTCAAGTGTAAAAGATTCAATTCCACTGGAAAACAGTATGTTTTGAGTACCGACTGAGTGCAAGTTTCTGAGAGATACTACCCTGAAGAAGGTACCACCTCTGTCCTCATCTGGTTTACGGCACTTACTTTATGGTCATTTACATCTCCAAAATATTTAGGCATTCGAGAACATTCTTTCGCTCCCCAATGAGACCATAAACTTACAGAGCAAATGTACTCCCTTTCCTAACCTTCACAACATCAGGCAGTTCAGTGGGTCCTCAGAAAACACTGAGCTAGATGTCTGAATTCAGCAGATGTTAACCAAGCCCCAGAACCCAAATACCTGTCCAGGGACTAAGTGTCCCAAACCTCACTAACCTGGCAGAGCACCTCTCTTCCAGCCTCTTCACACCTGATAACCCACTCTCCAGGGCTTTAAGTAGAAGCCGCCTTTTCAGAGGTCTGCTTCTGCTACCCTGGTTCTCATAGAGCAAACTGGTGTCTGGTGTGGAGTTCTCATTACATTAGCCCCAAGACAGAGGAGAAAACACAACTGCCAACCCTCAGCTGGTCATGCCCACCCACTCCCTCCCTGCCCCCTCCCCAGGAAGGGAGTGAGTTAGCAAAACTTAAAATGGCAAGGCCCAGTGCTGAGCACTAAGGTAAGCCAAACAGGTTTTTTTTGCCCTCAAGAATGTATAATGGACAAATCAGGTCAATTTCAACTACAATGCAAAGTGAAATGTGCCAAATGTTGCAATGTTGGCATATGGAGAAATCACTGTGGGAGAACAGATGGGGGAAGAGAATGCCAAATGGTGAAAATTCAAAGGTTATATCTTTGGGTTAAGCCTTGGAGGATGGGTAATACAAATGATGGATAACACTCTGAGGCCACTTCCTGTCTACCCAGTGCTGTGGTTGGTGGTATACACACCTCACTTAGGGGTCACAACAGTTGTCCTGAAGGGGTGCTCTCATTAGTCACACTTCACAGTGAGGAAACACGTACTGAGAGTGACCGATTTGTCCAAGGTCCACGCTAGTAAGCAGTAGAGGGGGGATTTGGACGCCTACAGGGTAACGATAGAGCACTGCTCTTAACTCTCACTTAAGGAGCAAAGGAGATGGTGAGGGAAGGCCTAGCCTCTGGCAGGGCAAGCCCGGGGGAGGCGGGAGGGAACAGACAACAGTTCTGTTTGATCCTTATGGCAACTTTGGAATCTATATGTCAAACTGTCGGCTTTACAATACATTGTCTCTGATCTCCCCACATCCTATTGAACAGGTACTTTTACCCCCATTTTACAGATAAGAAAACTGAGGCACAGAGAAGTAACTTTTCAAGGTCACACGACTGGTATCCCGCGCGGGCCCCTCCCACGGGCGGCCGTGGGCGTGTCCCCGGCGGCGGCGCCCGCGGCCCGGGGCGGAGCCTGGCTGCAGCTTGGGGCTGCAGGGCAGCCCGAGAGGGCGAGTTCTGACCGCAGGTGGCTCCTCCTCCTCCGGCCCGCAACCGCAGGTACTCAGTCGGCTGCGGTGGGGCCGCCTTTGTGCCCTGCTCCGGGGGCCCGCGACGGCCGCTGCGCGCCCAGGTCCATTGTTTCGCCGCTCTCTCTTCCGGACAGGTGCCGGCGGCGCGCGGGGCCCCCACGTGCCAGAGCTGCGGCCTGAGCGCTGGGATCAGCGGGCGCCCGCCGGGGCGTCCTCTGACGCGCGGCGGGGGATGAAGTACTTGAAGCCGTGGTGGTCGGACGGCGGCAGCCTTCTTCACTTCACCATCCTGCTGAGCTTGGCGGAGCTCCGCCTGGACCTGGACCTGGACCTAGACCTAGACCTCTACCTGCTGTTTGCGCCGCGCACTCTGNGAGGGGGGGGGCACGCCTGCGCACCTCCACCCTGCGTCCCCGGGGCGGTGGGGTTTGCAGGTTTGCGGACCACTGTGAGCCTCTCCTTTTTGTGAATTCGACCGAAGAAGGCTTAGTGCTGTCGCTGTGGCTTAGGCTTTTGGGAACGAAATAGGTGAAGTCATCAGTTATAAAGAACACCTGTCCTCTGTTTGACGGCGATCAAGGGTAGTAGTTCGGGGGTGGAGAGGGAGGACGGTATGCTGGAAATTTTCTGGCCCACTGTCTTCGTTCAGTACCTCGTGTAAAGTGACATGTCTTTTTCCGGAACCGAAGGCGGCCTTGGGCTCCGGGAGGATGCACGTTTTTCTTAACCGCGCTCCCCGGCCCAACGCGCTCACACCTCCTTCGGATTTTAACCCATTGCAGTTCGTTTTTTGATGCTTCTCTGAATTGAGGGGCTGTGGTCAGTGTCCACTCCGAGGCCCGCAGACAGACCGATCTGCTCTTACCTAACGATTCTCCACACCTAACAATTCACCCCCCCCCAGAACTTGTGTGACCCCTTAGCATAAAGAACACGGGTCACCTAGTGACTAACAAGTTTCCTTTTGTTCCTGGTTCAAACCTTTCAGTTTAACTTCCTCTTAAAACAAAGTTCATCAGAATCTGTTGACTGAAGTGTCTGGTGCTCCCAACGGCGAGTTGGTGTCTACAGACACAGCATAGCAATTTCCAAAAAATCGCCTTATACGAAGTTCCTCCAAAGGGACCTCTGTAATGGGCCCAAACCTCAGTGTTAGCAATTGGTATTGATCAGCAAGAGTTCCTTGGACGTTGTTTTTGTGGAGTGCAATCTTATGCAAAAGGGGGCCAGACTGGTTTGTTTGCTGCTCTTCAGAATTGCCCTGTTTGTGTAGGCAGTTGCCAGACGAGCTTCTCCGCCCTCTCCTGGAGGGGTCATTGTGCCCAAGTGCCGGGTGATTCAGTGTTAAACGTATCCGATCCCTGCCTCTTCCTGGGGCCGGAACTAATGGGATGGGGGTGGGGGAGTCTCTGTGGGCTGGAACAAACGGAGGGTAGGGGTGGGTAGGTCCTTTCTGCTCGCTCCTCCAGTCTCCGCTCTGGTGGGTGGTCTCACCTGAGCCCCTCCCCCTGCAGGGGTGGAGGGTTCCGTGACGCTCCCCTTCCCGATTCCGTGCCACCCTGGGATGAAACCCAGTGTTGGATGCTGTCCCAGATGGCACCCTGCCCCCATCACTGCTCGGTGCCAACCGGCCTGCGAGGTGTGCGAGGACCTGGAGGCACAGGAGGCTGCTCTTCAAGGACTTCGCTCCCCTGCCCAGGCTCTCCTGGTTGATATCTCTTTAGACCAGCGAGGCTGCCATGGGGGAAAGCTCTGGGGACCTAGGCAGAGCCAGACCTTGGATGCCCTGAGCCCAGATTTCCTAAGGGAGAGGGTGAGGTTCACCCCAGGCCATTCTCCTGCTATCACCTACCCCAGCTGGCATGTGCCGGCCTGCGGGACTGTGGTAGCTGCCGGGATGACCTGGTTTCGTTCATTCTGGCGATGATTAGCTGTCGAGCACCTTACAGTTTTCACAGCCAGTTCACCTGTATTGGTAACACCTTTTACATGCCCCTTGTGAGGTCCACGGACCAGGCATCCTTATATCCAATTTATACTTGGACAACAGAGATCCAGTGAGGTTAAGGGGCTTGGCTAAACCAGCACAGTTAATTAGTACCAGAAGTGGATCTAGACCCTGAGCCCCCCTGACCCCCAGGGTGGCACATTAAGCATCTCCACTGCACTCTGGTTTTCTGTGCAAGCGTGCAGCTGGAATGGGCATGACCCCCATTCCTGACCCCAGCACCATTGCTCTCCACTGCTGGATTGACTTTAAAAAGCAAATTGTACCATCCGCAATGCCGAAGTTACAGTGGGAAACTGTGACTCTGGAGAAAATGGGCTGAAGAAACAAAACAGCTCTGGTTTTTGCAATCAGCAAACCTGGGTGTGGGGGCCTCACATAATCATGTGCCCTCATACGGGCTACCTTAACCCCTCCAGGCCTCAGCGTCTCATCTGTCGAGTGGGAGAGTAATGCTTCCCTCGGCTGCTGTGCCCATTAAGTGGGAAAAGCATGTGTGAAGTGCCAGCCTAGTGCCTGGGATGTGATTGTTTTCTTCTTTTGCCCCCATCCTCAACACACCCTCCTTAACCCGCCCCACTCAACATTTTGTCTTGTTTGTCTCTGTGTCTAGCTTGATTGGCTGTCTGTTGAGGAGGTGGGGTGGGTTGGAACTAGACTGCCTGGTTTGGGATCCTAGTTCCACCATGCATTGCTCTGTGACCTTGGGCTATTTCTGAACCTATCTGTACTTTATTCTCACCTGCACAATAGGAATAATATAGGTTATTATTAACCTGCCTACTGCAGGGGGTTGTTGTGAGAATTAAACAATTCATATCATGGAATAGGCTTAGAACTGTGTTTGTCCCGTCTTAAACACTCAAGGTTAACTTCAAAGAGAGGGAGTGCTGTGACATAAGAACATTTTAAGTTTGTTATAGATAATTCTGGTGGCTTACATTTGAGTTGTAGGAGATTCTGGTTTTATAGTATAACTTTCCATAATTTTTGTACATGTGCAAAAATATTTTGGAGTAGGGGATTTTCCAAGTTATCAAAGGAAGTACAGCTTTGGTTTCATTTCTTAGTGAGGCTAATCATTAGTTGCAAACAGTATGTGGAATTCCCCAGGGCAGACAAGCTTCCCTTCCTAACCGCAACCATTCACTCACAACTTATGAGGCACATGTTCTTCAAAGTCATGCACTGGTTAAACAAAGAAATCAACAGTAGTTGCAGAATTGAATGCGTGAGCATATTTTGCCACTTTAAAACTGAGAGGACTTGTGGTCATCTTGATGTGGTTTCATGCCGTGGGACATGACGTGGGACAGATGGGGACCTTCTGCTGGTTGAGGGGTCCAGCAGGACCTCTGACCTTTGGAGTTGGTTTCTTCAGGTCACAGGAAGAATCTAATACAGTCAATATTTGCTTCTAAGAGTACATAAAGGGAAGAGAAATTAGGTCCTTGATTGTTAAAGTTGGTTTTTGTTTCAAAATCAAAGATAGTCCCTGATGCCTGGGCAGTTGGAGATAGATGAAATTTCAAACACTTACCTGTTTTCAACTTACAACCATGATACAGAAATAGTCTTTTGTGTAATGATATGCATTGCAGTACAGTGTTTCACGGTAGACTTTTTACTAAAATATGCAGTGAAGATGTACCTATGATCTTATGGGGAAGAATAGCATGGGTCACTGTATTAGTGTTGTTGCTGTTTAGTTGCTCAGTCGTGTCGGACTCTTTGCTGCCCTATGGACTGTGGCCCGCCAGGCTCCTATGTCCATGGGATTTCCTAGAATACTGGAGTGGGTTGCCATTTCCTTCTTCAGGGGATCTTCCTGACCAGGGATCGAGCCCATGTCTCCTGCATTGGCAGAGGGATTCTTTGCCACTGAGCCTCCTGGGAAGCCCATTAGTGTCTTAGGGCTGCTGCGACAAAGTAGCATGAACCAGGCGACTTAACAGAAGTTTCCTGTCTCACAGTTCTGGAGGGAAAAAGGTGGAGATAGGGTCTCAGCAGTTCTGAGGTTCCAGGCTGTGATGGTGAGGCTGAAGGTTGTGAGGGTGAGGTTCCAGGCCTCGCTCCTGGTTTCTGGTCATTTGCTTGCAGTCTTCGGCAGCCCTTGCTTTTTACTGCATCAGCCCAGTCTCTGCCTTCTTCACATGGCCTTGTCCCTGTAAGCATGCCTGTAGCCAGATTTCCCTCTTTATAGGACACCAGTCATATAGGATTAGGGGCCCATCTTCTCATCCTAACCAATTACATCAACAATGGCCCAGTTTCCAAATAAGGTCACATTCTGTGGTACTGAGGGTTCTGACTTGGATCACATCAATTTTGAGGGACTCAGCTCAATCCACTATGCTGTCACCATCTCCCCTTTCTGGGAACTCTTGGGGGTGTTCCACTTGCTTACCAACTAGGTACCAGTTGTTGCAAGTCCGCAGTATCTAGAAGCAGCTGGACTACGCGTGGGACCATTTGCAGAAGGACTTGGTGTAAGTTCTTGAGCAAAGCTGGTTTTTGGCTGTCTTGTTGTGCCACAACCCCAAGGAATCCCAGACTTCTTCCAGTCAGCCCTTGACCTGAAGTGGTAGGTTACAGAGACATCATCTCTACGCTGTATGAGTCTCCCCTTTGCTCGCCCTACTTCTCAGCCTCACTCAGAGGAGCGTGGAGCCCAGGCCTGCCGCTCTCGTGGTCAGTGTGCTGGCCCCGGAGCTTCACTGCTGCCTGCTTATGTGATCGGAGCACACTTGTTAACCTCCCTGTGCCTTGGCTCCCTTATCTGTGAAATGGGTTGGTAAGAGTCCCTTCAGGAGGATTAAAGAGATCACACGTGTTCTTTGGGGTCGGCACTTGGTAAGCCCTCCGTGTTAGCAGCTGCTGTTAAGTCAGCGGGGGCTGGAGGCGCGCCAGTGCCCCTTCCTAACTTACTCCTCTGTGCTTGGTCTCCAGAGCATGCCTTGTTCTTTCCCGTTTTCATCTGGGAAACCCCCCCGGGGCTCCTCATTGCCTAGCAGTTTGCTGCTTTGTTGTTCAAGGCTCCCCATCTGATGCAGCTCCCCGTTCTGAGTTCATCTCTCCAGCCGGCCCACACCTGGAGCCTACTTTGCTACTTTGACTTTCTCCCTTCCTCTTCCCCAAATAGCCGGTTCTTTCCTGCCTTTGACTTGGCTACCTTTGCCCAGAATGCATCCCNTAGCCTTTCAATCTGAATAGTTTATTCTCAAAATCTAATTAAAGATGTATAGTAATATTCAAATACATTTCTGGGCAGCTGAAGCAGACTGAGGCTCCGGCACACACATGGGTGGTTTTTGGTTGAGTTGCAGCTGGTGCAGATCATGGTCATGTTGTAGAGGCAAGGAAGGCATGGCCTTTTGTGATTGGGTGCAACTGGGTTCCCTGGCTTTGCCAGGGTTCTCCAGGGAACAGAGTCAGAATGTGTGTGTGTGTGTGTATGCGTGTATGCTAAGTAGCTCCAGTCGTGACCAACTCTTTGTGACCCAATGGACTGTAGCCCACCAGGCTCTTCTGTCCATGGGATCTCCCAGGCAAGAATACTTGAGTGGGTTACCATGTCCTCCTCCAGGGGATCTTCCCAACCAAGGGATCAAACCCATGTCTCCTGATGCAGGTTTAAGGCAAAATTTCTTTCCCAGGGAGACTTTAGTTTTGTTCCATTTTGCCCTGAAAGACTTTCAGTTGATTGGATGAGGCCCACTTGGATTATCAAAGACACTCTCTTTTACTCAGTCACCTGGTTGGGTGCCACTGTTAACCCACATCTGCACAGTACCTCAGTACCTCCACAGCAACACTGGGTTAGCATCTGATGGCATTCTGGGTCCTGTCGCCTGGCCACACTGACATGTAAAACCAGTCATCACCCCATCCCAGCTCCATCTCCTCCTGGGCAACCTCCATGAGGCTTAGTGTCCAAATGGTAACAGGTGAATGTTAACTTCTTTCTGGGAAAGTTCTTTGAGCATTAAATCATACTGTTTGTTAAAGGGCTAGTGCAAGTTTTGGCATAGTAACAGATATCCAGCAAGTGATTTGCTCTCATTGCTCCAGAGCTAGGAATGTCAAACTCCCAGGAAACCCCTGACATCTGGAGGAAATGGCAGATGACTGTGAGGTCTTGCAGGAGGCCTTGGGCTTGTTGAGGAGGCAAAATCCTTACGGCTCATCTGAAAGAAGAGCTGCTTAGCCTTACTTTAGAGCTGGGTTTCTCATCCCAGTGACTGTGTCAGTTACCTGGTTGCTTGATACAATGTAAATTTCAGGGCCCACCTGAGACTGGCTGAATCAGAGCCTCTCAGATGGGGCTTGGGATGGGTCTGCAGTTTCTCAGACATCCACATGATTCTTCTGCCACCCCATCTTGATCTCAGCCATGGTGTTACTGCCTTAGGGCTTTTTGATGCCCAGCAATGTAGGAATGGAGGGCGGAGGGGTGTGGGCAGGGGACAGTGCCTGGTTGAAAACTATCCTTCTGAATTTAAAGCCCAAAAGAGCTCATAGACTGAGCCAAAGTACCTGCTTGGGCAGCAGGACCTGGGCTAGAGCTCTGGTTTGCCAGGTGTTGTTTTAAAGTTAAAGCCTGACCTGTGTAGTTTCTTGCTGGGAATGAGGAACTAACTTGCAAAATTAACTAATAATGAATGCAGAACTAACTTGCAAATAAATGCAGTTTAAAACTAACTCATGCTTAAGTTCTAGAATAGGTGAAGCTAGGGTACAAATATGAGAACTTTCTGGGAGTGTCTGAGAACTTTAAATGTTCTCTCTCACAGTTGAGGTGCAAGTTAAATGGGTGCCTGCATTTGTCAGAATTGTGCAGTTAAGGTTTATACAGTTCTGGCCAGGTATACCCTACCTAAAAACTATGAGAGAATAATTGAGTAGTGGGGAGGGGAGGGGTGGTGGGATTAGTGATGGTTGCTTGATACAATGTAAATTTCAGGGCCCACCTGAGACTGGCTGAATCAGAGCCTCTCAGATGGGGCTTGGGATGGGTCTGCAGTTTCTCAGACATCCACATGATTCTTCTGCCACCTCATCTTGATCTCAGCCATGGTGTTACTGCCCTAGGACTTTTTGATGCCCAGCAATGTAGGAATGGAGGGCGGAGGGGTGTGGGCAGGGGACAGTGCCTGGTTGAAAACTATCCTTCTGAATTTAAAGCCCAAAAGAGCTCATAGACTGAGCCAAAGTACCTGCTTGGGCAGCAGGACCTGGGCTAGAGCTCTGGTTTGCCAGGTGTTGTTTTAAAGTTAAAGCCTGACCTGTGTAGTTTCTTGCTGGGAATGAGGAACTAACTTGCAAAATTAACTAATAATGAATGCAGAACTAACTTGCAAATAAATGCAGTTTAAAACTAACTCATGCTTAAGTTCTAGAATAGGTGAAGCTAGGGTACAAATATGAGAACTTTCTGGGAGTGTCTGAGAACTTTAAATGTTCTCTCTCACAGTTGAGGTGCAAGTTAAATGGGTGCCTGCATTTGTCAGAATTGTGCAGTTAAGGTTTATACAGTTCTGGCCAGGTATACCCTACCTAAAAACTATGAGAGAATAATTGAGTAGTGGGGAGGGGAGGGGTGGTGGGATTAGTGATATAAGAACAACAGGTAAGGGACTTCCCTGGTGGCCCAGTGGTTAAGACTGCACTTCCAACGCAGGGGGCTTGGATTCGGTCCCCAATCTCTTCCTGGCCTCAATCCCTGGTTGGGGATTAAGATCCCATACCTCAGGGCGCAGCCAAAAAACAAAACCAAAAAAGAATGGCAGGAAATTGTTGATCATTTTTGAAACTGGATGATGGGTTCATGGAGGGCTTGCTTTATTATTTTCTGTTTATTTTATGTGTTTGAAATTTTCCATTGTGAAGAAAATACAAAAACATCATGCATGTTGAAGGCCGCTTGGCCTGTCCTGCCTGCTGGAGTGATGTAGCATTACATGAATCTCTCCTGCTCCCCCCTCCCCACCTCTCCTCTGCTCTGCCCTGCCCTCTCCTGGTCCCTCTGCTCCCCCTCCCCCACTCCCCTCTGCCCTCCCCTCTCCAAGGCCCTCAGCCTGCACCTGGGGATTACTTGTGGGAGAAGCAGCTCCTTTTAAAATCAAAGCCTGCAGGTTGGAGTTCATGCCCTTGTGTCCCAGGTGTTGAGTCTCCTGTTTGGAAACACTGGTTGTTTTCATACCCGGCTTCTCCTGGTGGGCAGTCACATTGAATGGCTTAGTTTCAGCCTTGTGGAGGATGCTTGCCAATTTTTTTAGCTGCTTCCTCTAGGAGCCTTCAGAAATGAGTTTAGTCTCTAGCACATGTTAGGGTGAGCAGTTTCCAGCACGTAATAGCAAATGGAGAGAATGGATAATGGAGTCCCGTCCCTCGTCCCTGTCACCAGCTTAACAATCACCAGTGCAGGGCCAGTCTTGGCTCATCTGTCACTCCCCTTGTCCCTCCCCCCATTAGTTTGAAACAAATTCCAGACATCATTTCTTGTGATTCTTGTGCCAGCTCTTTGCAGGGACTTAGTCAAGAGAAGAAAAAAGCCTGGATTTGTTCCTTTCCTGTTCTTCCCACTACCTTTATCAACTCAGAAAATCTTCTATAAATATTTTAGGGTATATCCCTAAAGGACCCTTCTAAACATCAACACAATGCCAAGACCACACCTAAAAAAAATCAGCAAAAATTTGTTATCACTGAATGTCCAGTTTGTATTCAACCCCAGTTATCTTATGATAAATTTTTTCACAGTTGGTTTGTTGGACTCGCAATCCAAGTAAGATCAGTACCATGCACTGTAGCCAGCTGTTCTGCTTGATATTCAGAGAGGGACTTGCTTTATTTATACAGAGCGAACTCTTCCCATGTCTGCAGTTCTTATCTGTGTGATGCAAGTGGGAGCCATCGCGGGTCGTGGTGCAGTTGGCTTTCCTGTAGGAAGAGGGAACCCTTCTTCCTACAGAAGAGGAAATGAGTCTTCGGTGAATGACTTCTCACAGCAGCAACAGGGGTGTTGGGACACCCAGCGACTACCAGTGGAAGGTGGAGCCCCGGGTAGGGGGAGAAATGTTCAGGCCTCTCCTGTTTCCCCCATCACCCCCTCCAGCCTCCTACTGTACCCTCCCACCAGTGAATCCTGCTGGGAGCCCCAGAGTGTGCAGGGCTCAGCTTCTGGGGGACACATGGGGACCTGGGGGGGGGGGGCAAACTGCTCAGGACAGTGTCCATGAGCAGGCTGTCAAGTAAAAACACCTGCAGCCACACTCTTTTAAGTCATTTACCAGGTCTGTGACTTAACAGCAAGTTGCTTAACCGCTCTGTGCCTCAGTTTCCCCCTTCATAAGAGCAGAAAGGAGCAGTACCTGGGATGCCAGGCAACTTCAGTGAGATCATGATTGTGGTGCCTGGCCCAGAGTGAGTGCTCAATCAGTGTGAGCTATAATTATTATAAACTGCTGCAGCAAACCACCCAGGCCAGACAGGACAGTCTCTCTTTATCTGGCTCCTTGTTTCTCTCCAGACCTGATGACTCCAGCTTACTTCCAGCCTAGAGCCAGGGCCTCAGAATTCTTTGGCTGTCATCCCTCTCCCTCTGATGCCATCCTTCTCGTAGGCTTCACACTGTTCTTTGCCTTTGAAGGTCCTTCCAACCCTAAAGGTCACAGCAGGTCTCAGTCCCTCCCCCCTCAGATGACTAAACGAAAGGCCCAGCCAGCGAAGCCAGCCAGAACTGTTCACAGAGTGTTTTCAGGGTCAAATTCTCCATCTTCCTCTTCCGGTCCCAACACAGGATAGTTGGTACCAAGTCAGAAATCATGCTGCCAGATCCCAGAACTTCCAAGACTCAGCAAAGAGAAGAGTCCGGCTTTGCTTCTTTCTCCCCTCTCCACTATCCTTCATTGTCTCTGAAAACCTTCCTTTGAGGCTCAGCTCTGCTCCCTAACTCACCTGTGGTGGCACAGATGAGTTAACAGCCGGAGGACAGGTGTCAGAAGGGTACAACCCTCCTTACCAGCAGGGAAGGATGTGGGAGAGGGGTAGTTAGGAAGTTTGGGATTGATACGTTCACACTGCTGCAGTTGAAATAGATAACCAACAAGGACCTACTGTATATAGCACAAGGATGTTGTTTAGTTGCTCGATATTCTGTAATAACCTAAATGGGAGAAGAATCTGAGAATGAATAAACACATGTATGTAAAAAGTGAAAGTGTTAGTTGCTCAGTCATGTCTGACTCTTTGCGACCCTCCAGGCTTTCTGTCCATTGGATTCTCGAGGCAAGAATGCTGGAGTGGGTTGTCATGCCCTTCTCCAGGGAATCTTACCGACCCAGGGGGATACATGTATATGTCTCACTGCCACCTGAAACTAAGACAACATTATTAATCAACTAAACTCCAGTATAAAATAAAAATTTAAAAATTATTTACAGCCCAGTAGGAAAGAAAAGACCCAAATAATTGTAGTTTTACATAGAATAGAAGGCATGTCATAGGAGAAACCCTGTAGGTCATAGGATTTTTGAGACAGAAGAACCCAGTTTTAACTAAGGGGCCCAAACCGAGAAGGTTTGGATCCATGCGGAGGATGGGGTGGCTAGGCTCCCAGCAGTCAGGGCTGTGGTGGGAGGGCCTGCCTTTTCACCAGTTGCCAGTTCAGTGCAAGTCCCTGGGTGGTGTTGAGCACCCCAGCTCACAAGTTTACGATGGTTTCCTGTGGTGAGCATGGAAACTTTCTTCTCCTTTTTTTTTTTTAAAATTGAGTCCCAGCCTGAGTAAAAATCACCTACCTACACACAAATAAAAAGTAACTTAATGATGGGTTTTGCTTACCCATTCTTTAAGAGCATGGACCATAAATCTCCAGTATATACAACAGTGCTTGTAAAACACTTGTACTGTCTTTTTCAGCTCCTTGTCATTGAGTTGAGGAAAACAGGAAAAGAAGAAAGCAAAGAGATAGTAATTACTGGCTACTAGGGGCTGGGGTCACTTTCTCTTGGGGTTCTGATTGAGTTGTCAGCAGTTAGTCATTAATTACAACTCTTCAGAATCAAAAAGCAGTAGAAAGGACTGATTAATGTTTGCATAGTATCTTAAAATGTATAAAGTGCTTTTCCTCAACCAATTCCTTAAAATATGAATTAGAACTCTTCCCCTTCATGTTCAGACAAGGAGACTGAGAGCCTGAGGGGCCCAAGGTCACAGCTGGTAGGATTAGGAGTGGCCTCTTTTACGCAGCTGTTTTTGGACATGAGCCTTCCTAGCCAGGGGGCTTTTGTGGGACCTTGTGGACTGCGCAGAGTAGACAAGTACAATAGCCCTTTCTCACTTTCTAAACAGAAATAATATTGGACCTTCCTCCCCTCCTTGTCTTGGGTTCCTGGTGTCTCCACCACCCCCCGCTTAACTGTCACAAATCCCTGGGAAGAGGACTCTCTCTGAGCCCAAGTTTAGTGGGCAGGATGTTTCTAAGGGAGCACCTTTTGAATTTGCAGCTGTGGAAGGGAATACAAGAAAGCAAGTTTGCACGGAAGCAGGAGTCAAGCTGTGGAGCAGGTAGGCAGTGCCAGGAGCTCTGGGGCTTATGTGGCCCTTCACAGTGGTCCCATGATGGCTGAGGTGGCCAGGCCTTTGTGCTCTGTCTGCCCAGTCCTGGGATGTAGGTGCCCCAGGAAGGCTGTGACCTTAGGTGAGGGGGCCCTAGGTAGGCGAGGCATTCTGTAAAGGCCCAGCTGGAGGCTCTTTGCTCCCAGGTCAAGGAGAATTCTTTCCAACTTTCCAGTGAGGAGTTCTGATGTTCCATAAAGCTTCCCAATTGTTTTTTCTTCGAAACCAGCACGACAATGATACCAAAAAAGAAAAAGAAAGAATCCAGGAATTACTCTTATGATATTCCTGCAAAACATTAAATAAAATGTTAGCAAGTTACACAGAAACATAGGTGCATAAAGCATTTTTTTAAATGGATGTATTAGTTATCCATTGCTGCAGAGCAGATTGTTCTAAAACTTAATGACTTAATACCACATTTATTATCCCATTTATTATGTGAGTCAGAAATTCTGGAGTGACTTAGCTGGGTGGTTCTCCTTCCTGGTTTCAAGAGGCTGTAGTGAAGATGGTGATTGGAGTGCATTTATCCGAAGGCTGAACTGGGGCTGAAAGATCCAGTTCCAAGGTGGACCACTGACAACTGTGGTCAGGAGGCCGCAACTCTATGCCAAGTAGAGTTGGAGAGGCCAAGGCCTCTCCATAGAAAGCTTGAATGTCTCTGCAACACGAGTGCTGGCTTTCACCAGGACAAGTGATCAGAGGGAGAGCAAAGAGGAAGCCACAGGGCTGAACCATGACGCCCACCTAATAATGCTCCTTTTGTCAAAAACAACTCATTAAGTCTGGCCCCAACTCTGGAGGGGGATTAATCTTTACTTCTTGAAGAAGAAGGAAAGAGTGTTACATATAATTTGTGGATATTTTTGAAACACCTTAATATTCAGTATCCATTTCTACTTTTAAAAATGCCCTTCAAAAATAAGGATAGAGCTTCATACTACCAAATCCTCAGATACAGTCTTGTATCCGCTTTCTACTCCTTATCCTGAAATGAAGGCTTTATTTTTCTTTCTTTCAAACTCAGTCCTGCCATTTGTCCTTTGGAGTCTTTATCTACAGCTTTCTGAATGTTATCCTTTCTTCTCAGTCATTGCCTTACAAACATATTCCAGCATCTCATCTTTAAAATATTGCTCTGATCCACTTCTCCACTCACTTCATAGCCAAAATTCTTGAAAGAATGGTCTGTATACTGTTTCCAATTTGTATTCTCCCATTTACTTTTCAACACAGTATCATTGGGCTTTACCCTAAATTTTTCGAAGGCCACCCACTGCTTTCTTATTGCCAAATCCATTGGATACTTTTCTGTCCTTACTATGTGCAACCTCCAAGCAGCACTCAACACAGTCAGCCACTCCATTCTTATTGAAACAGTTTTGGATTCTGAGACACTGCTATTCTGTCTTCCCCTGCAACTCATTTCTTGTCTGCTTCAGTCTTTTCTCACCAGCTTTTCTGCTTGACCTCTGAATGTTTCAGTCCCGCAGAACCCTGTCCTGAGCCCCTTCTTGCTTTGTGCTCACTTGTTGGAATCTCACTAGTTCCTGTGTGTGTGTTTATGTTGATGTGTTCCCAGTTTTTACTTCCAGTTCAAACCTTTGCTCTAAATTCCAGATTCTCATCTCAGTAGTGTAATAGATATTTCTGCTTGACTTTTTACGTCTCAAATTTGACATTTCAAAAATGGAAGACCTCTCAGTTTCCCTTTTTAATGGTTCTGTTTGTAACTATCCACCATCTTTATTCAAGCCGGAAATCTAGGTGTCATTCTGAATTTTCTTCCCTTTCGTCCATCAACAAGCCCTCTCTCATTTTCCACGGTGTATCATGGATTCTTCCGCTTCTCTGTCACCACCACCTTTTTCCAGACTGCTATTTCTGTGTGTGTGTGCTAAAGTCACTTCAGTCATGTCCAGCTCTCTGCAGCCCCGTGGACTATAGCCCGCCAGGCTTCTCTGACCATGGGATTCTCCAGACAAGAATACTGGAGTGGGTTGCCATACCTTTCTCCAGGGAATCTTCCCAACCCAGGGATCGAATCCGGGTCTCTTATGTCTCCTGCATTGGCCAGCAGATTCTTTACCACTAGGCCATCTGGGAAGACTGTTGCCTACTGTCAATTAATTATTGTAGTAATCTCCTAACTGGCCTCCCCACTTCCACTCTTGGATTTTCTCTGTGGTTGCAGAGGAAGAAGAAATAACTGTAGCTCAGATTCCTACTCTAACTGTGACTTTTCCTGCCTTGGCCCTTTTGCTCCCCATGCCTCTGTCCTTAGGGGAGCTCAGGCTTTCTCTCGTCTCGAGTCTCTCCCCTACTCCTGTCGAGGACTCTTCCCCTACTGTCTTCATAGTCGCCACTTGTTTCATACATACACTGATCGGAGGCTGAATGGGAGAAGGTGAGTAAAAATGCTACTACTGTTCATTAGTAGACCCCAGTAGAAAACCCAGTAGAAAAGACCCCAGAAGAAAAATGGACAGAGACCACAAAGAGTTAACAGAAAAGGAAATACAAATGCTTTTACACTTGTGAAAGCTGTTCAACCTCACTCATAAGAAGAGAAATAGAAATTAAAACTACAGCAAGATGCCAATTTTCATCTATCACATTGGCACGTTTACTGGTAGGAGTCTAAGTTAATTACCACAAACATTTTTTAGAGAGCCATTGGTTAGAATCCATCAAATAAAAAAATCCATGTATCTGTTGACCTAGCATACATTCTAGGAATTTATTTTACTTAACACATGTGTGCAAAGAAGTATGCATAAGGACATTTTCATTCTTTTTCTTTCTTTTTAAGAAATGATTGGAGACAAATATCCATCATTAAGAACCTAATCAAATCCATTGTGGTAACAGGAATGTATTGGTTTCTCTCCTCTGTACACCACTCTTTCTCTTTTTAGATCTCAGCTAAAATATCACTCCCTTGAGAGGTCTTCCCTAACCAGTCTTTCTAAAGGTGGGCCCCCCTTCTCTTTCACTTGCCATAACTTGCAGTAATTTTCTTAGTTCACTTGTATTTTGGGCTTCCTCTCCCTTCAAATGTAAGCTCTGAAGAGGCAATCTAGACTTTTTTTCCACTGTTGTATCCCCAGCATCCAGTATACTATTTGGCATTTAATATGTATTGATTGAATGAGTGAATGAATAAGGAAAGCTGTGTGATATCCTTATTGATGAAACATTATGAATAAAAAATAAGAATGGCAGGTGTGATAATGTGATGTAATACGTATTTAGTTCTCATCTGCCCCCACCTCCCGACCCCTATGTGGCAGAGTTCCCAAAGACCTTGGAATTTCCTAAAGATGAGAGCAATGGGAGCATCTTTTGTTATAATATTTGGTCTCTCAGTCCTCAGTTCCTGAAATAGTTCTCGAGCCCTGAAGGTGAAAGGAAACTTTTCCTATTTGTAATATGTGGTTATAACATAACCACACCTGATTTATGGGGTTGTTTTTTGTTTGTTTATTTATTTGGCTGTGCCAGGTCTTTTTTTAAAATATATGTGCCAGTCTTAATTGCAGCATATGGGATCTAGTTCCCTGACCATAGATTGAACCTGACCCCTTGCATTGGGATTGTGGAATATTAACCACTGGACCACCAGGGAAGTCTCTTCATTCTGTTGATGAGGTAGCTTTGAGAGAGCCCCCTAAAGATGGGGGCTGGTTGCCAGGGGAACCAACCACATGATGAGAGGATTAGAACTTTAACCCCCCCTCCCCCACCAGACCTCTGGGGAAGGGAGAGCAGCTGTAGATTGAGTTTAGTCACCAACAGCCAGTGATCGATCAACCATGCTTGTGTAGTGATGCCTCCATAAAAAGCCAGAAGGAGGACGTTGGAGATCTTCCAGCTTGGTGGCCACATGGTGGTGCTGGGAGAGTGGCGCAGGCGTGCCAGCTTGTGACCTTTCCACAGTCCTTACCTTTAGGCATCTGTTTGTTTCGGAGTTGTGTCCTTTTGTAATAAAATGGTAATCTAGTGAGTTAAATGTTTTCCTGAGATCTGTGAGCCATTCTAGCAAACTAATCACAACAGAGGAGGAGGAGGGTTATGGGGACCTTTAATTTATAGGCACTTGGTGGGAAGCACAGGTGACCACCTGGACTTGGAACTGACCTCTGGAGGGAGAGGCAGCAGTTTTGAGACTGAGCCTTTGACCTGTGGGATCTGATGCTACCTCTAGGTAGATAGTGTCAGAACTGAATTAAGTTATAGAACACACAGGTGGTATCACAGAACTGCCAGGTGTGTGAAAAGCCCACACGCCTGGTGCCAGAAGTGAAGTAGCAGACCATTGAGAATGGAGGGACGACACTGTTTTCCTTTACATCAGATATCATTATTATTGAGCAGTATTCTGAAAGCATGAGCAAAGCAATTAGACAAGAAAATGAAATAAATTTAAATCATGAGAAAGAAGAGGTGAAAAAGAATTAGTAAAGCAGTCGACATGACTGTATATACTTTGGGGAGAAAATACAGATTAACAGGAATTATAATGGAAGAATAGTTTTTCTGAGACTACCTTCTGTGGTTGCCTTGGACAAAATGATTTTGCCATGTAGGAATTTTAGGGGATAACTTTAGTTAGATATAATTTCAAACTTTAAAAAAAGTTGTGAGAATAGTATATATATTTACTCAGATTTGCCTGTTGTTTACATTTGGCCCCATTTGAGTTACCTGTATATAATTACATCTATATACACATACAGTTCTTTCATTCTGAAACATCTAAGAATGAATTGCAGCCATTATGTATAGTACTTGCTAGTATGATCTATAACCAGTTAACCAGAATCAGGAAAATTTAACATGAATCTAAAACTATAATCTATTATCCATACTCAAATTTTATCTATTGCCCCAGTAATATCCTATGTAGCTACTTTTTCTCCTGGGTCTGTGTCTAACCCAGGAGCACACATTGCATTTACTTGTCAAATCTCTTAAATCACCTTTAACATGGAAAAGTTCTTTCAGTTCTTGACCTTTAGATTTTGGAAGAATATCAGCCAATTATTTTGTAAAGTGGCTCCCAATTTTGACTTGTCTGATGTTTCCTCATTACGTTAGGATTATGAACACCACAGAAATGGTATTGTATCCTTCATATTGTGTCAGGAGGCATCTTGGTTTATCGCCATATGGTGATGATAGATTTGACCACTGCTTTATTTATTTTTCTTTTGAACGTATCTTGTGTTGGGGTGCAGCCAATTAACAGTGTTGTGATAGTTTCAGATAAACAGCACAGGGACTCAGCCACACACATGCATTCTTCCCCCAAACACCCCATGCCCCCATCCAGGCTGCCACAGAATGTTTGACTACTTGGTTTAGATGGTGTTTGCCAGGTTTCTCCTGAAGGGTTGTTATTTTTCTCTTTGTAATTAAAAAGTAATCTGGGGTGATACTTTGAGGCTACTTAAAATATTATTCATCAAGTTTTTATTCCCTAGTTTCAGCATTCATTCATGATTTTCTAACTCCATCATTCTCCTTCTATATTTATTAGTTGCATTCTACTGTAAGGGAGATATTTCCCTTTTTCCTCATTTACTTGTTTATACTGAAGTGAACTCATTGGTCCTTTTATTTAACACATTTATTGAGTTATGATCCATTATTATATAATAGGGTTTTTAACCTATTTTCTTGCCATGTGATTTGTAGTCATACAGAATTTCTCTGTCTTCCATTCTTCTCCCGAGTTTTAAGGCAGGCCATCTTACAGACTTTTGTTACCAAACTCATACACTCTGAAAGTTTCCTTATGGGCTTGATGTAGTTAGGTATTCGCCACTGGTTTCCTCTTACTGTTTATTTATGTATTGTTATAGATAACATTCTCATGTTTGCAAGTTTATGTGTCTCTCTTACATGTGTTCTATTTATTCTGATATTACAGACTAAGGGGACCTTGCTTCATGGTTCTAAAATAGATCCTGTGATTTCGAGGTTAGAAGCTCGTATGCCCACCAGCAGCAAATTTATTTGTAAACAAAGTTAACTGCCTCAGGAATCTAGAATTTTGAATTAGATTCTCTTAAGGCTTAACAAAAGAAACCTTCTCTTGGCAAAAGATTGAGGTTAAAAGAGTGTTGACCAGTCTTATCTTTTCCCTTCTTCCCTGAATTTAGATGGGAATCAGTGTTTCAGTTGCAGAAAAGAGCCAGACTATGGAATCTCATCAGAAATCACATACAAACTCTTAGGATGTTGTATATAGGAGTTCATCTGTTCAGCAACTATCCTTAAGGGTCTGCTGTGTGCCAGGCTGTGGTGTAGGCAGAGGGCATACAGCAGGAATCGAGCAGAGTCCCTGCCCTCAGGAAACTTGCATTCTAGTGGGACAGATTAGACAACAAATAAATACAATAACATCTTCAATTCAGTCGCTTAGTCAGGTCCAACTCTTTGCAAGCCCATGGACTGGAGCACCCAGGCCTCCTTGTGTATCTGAGGTTATTGATATTTCTCCCAGCAATCTTGATTCCAGCTTGTGTTTCATCCAGCCTGGTATTTCTCATGATGTACTCTGCATATAAGTTAAATAAGCAAGGTGACAATATATAGCCTTGATGTACTTTCTCTATTTGGAACCAGTCTGCCTGTTCCATGTCCCATTCTGTTACTTCCTGACCTGCATACAGATTTATCAAGAGGCAGGTCAGGTGGTCTGGTATTCCCGTCTCTTTCAGAATTTTCCAGAGTTTGTTGTGATCCCCACAGTCAAAGGCTTTGGCACAGTCAATAAAGCAGATGTTTTTCTGAAACTCTCTTGCTTTTTCCATGATCCAGCAGATGTAGGTGTTAGATACTGTGTGTTGGAAGGCTGGCGGGAATTATCCAATAGACAAGGAAATATTGTTGATGCAGAAAAGAGGATAGGGTAGCAGAAGCAATGTCTTCAAGCACATGAGCTGCTTGTGATGGAGGACATGAATAAGAGATCATTGAGGTAGGAAGACCAACATCCACAGTGTCAAGAATTTGGTACAGTGAACAGAGAAGCAAGTAAAACCAAGTGAGCCATCAGCACATTAGCCTCCTTTTTCTTCTGCTCTTGCTTTGATTTCTCTCCTTGTTTTAGCATCTGTGTATTTACATTTCTTTGACTTTTATTTTCTTTTTAAAGATTAACATTCCTATGGTTTAGAGTAGGGGGCAGTAATGCTGTCCTTGAGTTAGTCCAGTGTGTTTTGTTGCTGGAAGAGTGAAATTAAAAACAGATCCTTGGGAAGAATTTAAGAGGCCTTGATGTTATGTTAGTGGGGAAACAGTATACAGAGAAGTTTTAATATAATTGGAAGTATCAGAATATATATTATATGCTAAATGACAACTGTCTGAATGTTCAGAAGAATTCTCTAGCCTTTTAATTATCTGTCTCCTAAGATAAAGTTGAAGGACTCATCTGTATAAATAAGCATGGTTGAAAATATCAATGGAGATGTTAGTTTAAGCTTTATCATTAACTTTTTTTCAAAATAAATATTTACCTTTTTCCTGATTGTAAAAGAAATACATGTTTGTGGTAAAACATTCAAACAGTATAGAACTGTATAAAATGAAGTCAACTCTCTTTAACCTCCCTGAAGTCAGGGGGTTTATAAATGCAAATAATTTACATTATCCAGATCAGAACAGCCTGTCTCACTGAGTTTTTGAAAAGGACAAGACACAAAACTGACCTTTGTTTCAGAATTAAAATGTTTCTTTGATACCAAAATAATGAAATGTCAGTCTTAGCTTTCAACTTGGGTTTTCCTGATCACTGAGCAGTAAGTATAAAACAGTTTTAAAGATTTTACTTATTTGATGAAATGTGGATTTGTACTTAGCACATTTTGGGGTCGGTCCTTTTTATAGGAGAATGAGGTATTAAAAGGTGTGGGCCACAGTCCCCAGCATGAAGAAAATGACCAAAGATCATCAACCCAAAAGGAAAAATCACTACAGCAGAAGAATGAAGATGAAACTAAAGTAGCAGATAAGCCTGCCTGGGAGGCAGAAAAAAACACTGAATCTAGAAGTGAGGTAAGCATGTCGGAATATTCCAACCATACTATTTTGGCTTTAAGGTAGATTTTATGACTTGACAATTTGTGTTGAGAATGGATTTTATATATGTGTGCCTTACTAGAAGTAAATGTGATATATGAAAATACCTATTTTTTAAAATTGTGGATGTGGTTATTTGGTTTACAAAGGAATCAGCCATAAACCATTATATCTGGTTAAACTCACACACACCCGTCCAGAAACCCGCTAGCAGGTTTTGTTGTGTTTGCAAGGGATGTAGAGATGGTTGGCATCCTGAACCCAGGAATCCTCAATCAAAACCAGCCACTTTCAGAAGTAGTAGACAGGTTGGCTAGTTCTGGGAAAGTGAGGAGAGGACCCTATAGGGACATCACCCTCAATCTGGTTGGAACTTGGGCTCACATTCTTGCTCAGTCTCCTGGTGCACCATGCTCACTGGGCATCCATGAGCCCATTTTGCATCTTTGGCCTAGGTAGAGTCGGATAGCCTCATTGACTCCTTGCAACTAATAACCACACTTGTTGAGTAGTGGAGAGAGTTGGAGAAGGGTGAACTCCAGGAGCCAGGCTGAACTCCTTCCTTCTTTAACATGGGACCTAATCTGGGTTCTACTCAGCAGTGGTCCAGACAGGTCTGTAATTCCACAGGCCTTTAATCACTTGGTACTTCCCCTAGAAGGTGGTACCCTTGCAGGTCTTGCCCTGAAGGGGCTCCCAGCCCTGCATTGCCCCAGGTGGAATTTGGGGCTGTGCCTTGAACACCCATGGAGGGTAGAGAGTACTATGCCTTGGCCCTTCTCAGGCAGCCCATCATCACTGTAGCCTTGACTTTCTAACATCACCCTGAACATAACATGATTGACAGAATGAAGTCTGAAAACAGTTCTGCTCCCTCTGCCCACTCACCACTCCCCCGCCCCTCCAGCCTGTTCTAACCTGTTTTGGGGAACTAGTTCTTCCCTGCATGCTGGGTGAAATCTAGGACAGGCCCTGTGCTAGATAATCAGACCAAAAACCTCTCTGCTCATCCCAGTGCAGCAGCTGGTAGACCGAAGCAGTGTAAATTCTCAACAAGTCTGTAGTTTCTCCATTCCTATCCCTGCTGCAGCCTCAAAGCATGGCGGGGTGGAAAAGGTGTGTGTAGCCAGCTTCTTGGGTTTCTCCAGTTCTTCTTCCCTTGTTTGTTCAGCCATCTTTTCTGAAGCTGAGGGTGTGATGGGTGGGAAGAGCTCAGAAGAGGTGTTCCTTGACTGTTGCCAGTCTGAAACTGGTTTCCCTGGACTGTAGAATGTATTTAAAACCACTGCTCTGTTGGTTAGGCACTTTCATTTTGCAGGTTCTTCGGAGACCCCTACTGGAGTCCCCTACAGCTGGGAGTCTCTCACTGTCCTTCTCAAGGCCCTGTGCACCTCCACCTCCAGGGGGCCTCTCAAGCACCTGCTGGTCCCGGAGACCTGCCCCTCACCTCCTTTGTCAGTCATCTCTCTAGCTGCAGCCCATGCTTGGCCTCTTGCCCTTCTTTTTCAGGCAAGCTCTGGATGCTCATCTGTTGTGTTCCCTAAACAAACCATGTTTCTAAGAGGTCTCTTTGAGTCCTTTTTTGCTAGTCTTTAGAAAATGTGGCGTTCACCCCAAGGAACCCCTTCCCATTTTCATTTTACCTCAGGCTATTCAACCCTTTTATGAGCTACAGTTAAATGAGATCCCACTGCAGCCTGGCATTTCACTGTGACATGCAGACGTATGCCCAGCTGCCTCCACTTTTACCCACTGATATTCTCCCCAGGCTTGTGTTCCTTTGTAATTCATGTACCTCGCTATGGCTTTACCACCTCCTTATGCGCACGCGCGCACACACACAAATGCCAGAGAATTGTCACATCAATGCCAGTGAGTGCTGCAATAACCAGGTCTGTTTTGAAGGAGACATTTCAGGTCACTTCACTGAGTGCCTCACAAACCATCTTTTTTGAGGCAAAAAAATGTTCTTAAACCAGTCTTACTGTCACTTCATTGTGTATAGATTTATGCTGTTGATTCATTTTTTTCCTGGGTATGTCTTTGCAATTATACCCCTTCACAAAGCTTCCCAGAAAAGTAGGACCTTATTTTCCACTTTTTTTGAACTGCCTATAGTAACTCACTCACTGCTAGGTAACAGACACTCATTGAAGTGATAGATCAATTAGGGAGCTTCCTTGGAGAATTTAAAATATTTCACTGCAGACGGACAAGTTTGGACAAAACTGTCTAGAAACACAATCACTTAAGAGTGTGGCATTTGTGCCTTGGTTCTTAATTATCAGACTCAGCTCCTTTTTTGTAGGTCCATGTCTCTGTTTTGCGCCAGTGTTTAAATTACACTTCTTAAAAAAAATAAATTACACTTCTTATAGGAGCTTCTAATGATAAAGCAGAAAGGAGTTATCTGTGACCACAGTGAATCACTGGCATTTGAGAATATTTAGGATGACCAACATAATTTACTCATTAGCAGTGACTTCCTTTTAGCTGCACTGCAAGCCTAAACTGCTATTAATAAAAACTAAAGGTGGGAGAGGGGATCGGGATGGGGAATACATGTAAATCCGTGGCTGATTCATGTCAATGTATGACAAAAACCACTACAATATTGTGAAGTAGTTAGCCTCCAACTAATAAAAATAAATGGAAAAAAAAACTAAATACACAAATATATACAGGTTAACTGGTTTGAAAATACGTTCTTCTCACTAAAGACAAGTTGAATTTATGTATTGTTGCATGTTTTTAAAGGTAGAAAATGTGTCCTTTTTTTTAACATTCCTAGTGATCTCTGTTCAAAATGCAGTGAATTCTTAGCCAAAAACGGAAATGATTAGGAAGGAGGACTTTTATGTGAAGATTTAGGACTACAGTCATGTAGTCCAGAGTTTAGGCCCTCAAGTAAAAGGTACAAGCCGAGGGGTTTCTGAAGAGAACGGATGGGATTTTCTTTGTAATAGAAATAAGGGCAGGCTTAAGGGCAATACCAAGAAATAGGGAGACCCCGTAGACAAGCAACTACCTGAACCCAAAACCACCCTCAGAGCATAAAGGAGCCTGGGGAAAAACACAGCTCAGTGAGAGTGAACATAAGAGGTGGTAAGGACATAAGAGTGAGGTAACGGGTGTCTAAGGGACCCTGTCACTTCTTCCTTCCATCTCCCCATCTCTTGCGGAGTCAACCAGAATGCTGGTTGTAAGCAGTTAGCTCCTCAGCCTCCATCGACAGGGGCACTGAAGAGGAAGAAACAGGTAAAAAAGATCTAATGAGACATATCTTTGAATAGCCTGAAGGATCAGTCCATAATTCATTTTAAAGAGAATGATCTTCATACCCGTATTTCCATGTTTTAAATGTTAAGGCTTTCTTTTCTGCAAAGTGTTATTTACCCATAATTAAGGGCTGTTTTTGTGGGAATGAATATAGATTTGTGCTGTTACCCATTCTCACACACTTGTGACCATCAGGCAAATTTTGGTCAATGGTTGGCCAGGACGAATGAATCAAGCTTCTGAAATGTCTTAGTATCTTTCTTGATATCATTTAGAATATCATTTAAAATCTTCACCAACTGAAGTTTACTACCCACTAAGGATGCATAATTTCCAGTTAAAGAACAAAAAATACTATCCACCAGCTTATCTTAAATGTCTTATAACATCCAGAGAAATAGACACAGAAAGCCTTGAAAACATGGCAAACCCAAGTATTTGTACCACATACACAAAATCAAAAGATGCTTGCTCCTTGGAAGAAAAGCTACGACAAACCTAGACCACGTATTAAAAAGTAGAGACATTACTTTGCCAGCAAAGGGCTGTCTAGTCAAAACTATGGTTTTTCCAGTAGTCATGTATGGATGTGAGAGTTGGACCATGAAGAAGGCTGAGTACCAAAAAATTTATGCTTTTGAACTGTGGTGTTGGAGAAGATTCTTGTGAGTCCTGTGGACTGCAAGGAGATCCAACCAGTCCATCCTAAAGATCAGTCCTGAATATTCATTGGAAGGACTGATGCTGAAGCTCCAATACTTTGGCCACCTGATGCAAAGAACTGACTCATTGGAAAAGACCCTGATGCTGGGAAAGAGTGAAGGCAGGAGGAGGAGACAAGAGAGGATGAATTGGTTAGATGACATCATCGATTCAATAGACATGAGTTCGAGTAAACTCTGGGAGTTGGCAATGGGCCGGGAGGCCTGGCATGCTGCAGTCCGTGGGGTCGCCAAAAGTCAAGACATGACTGAGTGAGTGACCACCACCACCACAAAATCAGTCCAGCTGATCTGAATCTTCAAAAAAGAAAACCCTAGAGTAAAAAGTTATGGGTGGGAGTTACACACAGCACAAGTCACGAATGTGAATTTACTAACACGTAAAGACACCCCTTTGACACACCAGATAGTATCCATTATGCCTCATCCAAGATTTCTATCTTCAAATCAGGCACAAAAGCTGAAGATATACAGATGCCATGACAGAGGCTGGGATTGAGTAGATCTCCAGTCCATGCTTGTGGGTACCTGAGTTCCCTATTTTAAAGCTCAATGTTTAAAGGCTCTTCTTGTTTAGGAAATGACAGCTAGGACACTTCTAGCCATGAGCTAGGAGACAGAGCAAGGAAGCTGTCGATCCAACTTTTAGAAATCAGAACACCAAGTGGCGTGGATTCAGACTACCATCACCATCAGGAATCTTGTCAAAAAAAGGTGTAGAAAATGATAGAAAAACTGATCCTTGAAGAGAAAAATATAAAACTGAGTTGGTAAACACTTGGTATGTGGCATTCCTATAGAAAACAGCTCTCAAAGATGAGCTTTTGCATTAAAAAGAGACAATGATAGAATAAGAAAATCTAAATTACTTCTAGGAGGAGTCCTAGGAGAGACTGGGAAGTATGAAGAAGCAGTATTCAAAGTTTATGCCAAAATATTTCCAAAATTAAAATGATCTTATGACTTAAGATTAAAGGGATACACAGAATCCCAAGCAGAGTAAATAAAAAATTAAGTTTCAGACCTAACACAGTGAAATGACAGGGCAACAAAAACTAAGAAAATAAAACTACCCAAGGGGGGAAATGGGCGAGTTTAACTCAGTTGACCATTATATCTACTATTGTGGGCAAGAATCCCTTACAAGAAATGGAGTAGCCATCATAGTCAACAAGAGTCTGAAATGTAGTACATGGATGCAATCTCAAAAACGACAGAATGATCTCCGTTCATTTCCAAGGCAAACCATTCAATATCACAGTGATCCAAGTCTATGCTCCAACCAGTAATGCTAAAGAAGCTGAACGGTTCTATAAATACCTGCAAGACCTTCTAGAACTAACCCCCCTCCCTCCCAAAAAAAGATGTCCTTTTCATTATAGGGGACAGGAATTCAAAAGCAGGAAGTCAAGAAATACCTGGAGTAACAAGCAAATTTGGCCGTGGAGTACAGAATGAAGCAGGGCAAAGGCTAATACAGTTCTGCCAAGAGAACACACTGGTCATAGCAAACACCCTCTTCCAACAACACAAGAGAAGACTCTACACATGGACATCACCAGATGGTCAACACCGAAATCAGACTGATTATATTCTTTGCAGCCAAAGATGGAGAAGCTTTATACACAGTCAGCAAAAACAAGACTGGGAGCTGACTGTGGCTCAGATCATGAACTCCTTATTGCCAAATTCAGACTGAAATGACCTAAATCAACCCCCTTATGATTGTACAGTGGAAATGACAGATAGATTCAAGGGATTAGATCTGGTAAGAGTGCCTGAAGAACTATGGATGGAGGTTCATGACATTGTGTAGGAGGCAGTGGGCAAGACCATCCCCAAGAAAAGTAAAAAGGTTGTCTGAGGAGGCCTTACAAATAGCTGAGAAAAGAGACATGAAAGGCAAAGGATAAAAGAAAGGATTATACCCATTTGAATGCAGAGTTCCAAAGAATAGCAAGGAGAGATAAGAAAGCCTTCCTCAGAGGTCAATGCAAAGAAATAGAGGGAAACAATAGAATGGGAAAGACTAGAGATCTTTTCAAGAAAATCAGAGATACCAAGGGAACATTTCATGTAAAGATGGGCTCCATAAAGGACAGAAATGGTATGGACCCAACAGCAACAGACGATATTAAGATGAGATGGCAAGAATACACAGAAAAAATGAAGTCACTCAGTCTTGTCCGACTCTTTGAGACCCCATGGACTGTAGCCTACCAGGATCCTCAATCCATGGGATTTTCCAGGGAAGAACACTGGAGTGGGTTGCCATTTCTTTCTCCAGGGGATCTTCCCGACCCAGGGATCAAACCCAGGTCTCCCGCATTGTAGGCAGATACTTTACCGTCTGAGCTAGACAACCGTCTTGACCTAGATAACCACGATGGTGTTATCACTCATCTAAAGCCAGACATCCTGGAGTATGAAGTCAAGCAGACCTTACGAAGCATCACTATGAACAAAGCTAGATGGAATTTGAGCTGAAATATTTCAAATCCTATATATGCAGAGTACATCAGGAGAAACGCTGGGCTGGAAGAAGCACAAACTGAAATCAAGATTGCAGGGAGAAATATCAATAACCTCAGATATGCAGATGATACCACCCTTATGGCAAAAAGTGAAGAACTAAAGAGAGTTTCTCTTGAAAGAGAAAGAGAATAAAAAAGCTGGTTTAAACCTCAACATTCAGAAAACTAAGATCATGGCATCTGGTCCCATCACTTCATGGCAAATAGATAAGGGAAACAGTGTAAACAGTGACAGACTTTTGGGGGCTCCAAAATCACTGCAGATGGTGACTACAGCCATGAAATTAAAAGATGCCTGCTCCTTGGAAAAAAGTTACGACCTAGACAGCATATTAAAAAGCAGAGACATTACTCTGCCAACAAAGTGTCCGTCTAGTCAAAGCTATGATTTTTCCAGTAGTCATATATGGATGTGAGAGTTGGACTGTGAGGAAGGCTGATCGCCAATGAATTGATGCTTTTGAATTGTGGTGTTAAGACTCGAGAGTCCCTTGGACTGCAAGGAGATCAAATCAGTCCATCCTAAAGGAAATCAATCCTGAATATTCATTGAAGGACTGATGTTGAAGCTGAAACTCCAATACTTTGGCCACCTGATGCGAAGATCTGACTCATTGGAAAAGACCCTGATGCTAGGAAAGACTGAAGGCGGGAGGAGAAGGGGACGGCAGAGGATGAGATAGTTGGATGGCATCACTGACTCAATGGACATGAGTTTAAGTAAACTCTGGGAGTTGGCAATGGGCTGGGAGGCCTGGCGTGCTGCAGTCCACTGGCTTTCAAGGAGTCAGACACAACAGTTGAACTTAACTGGGGGGGAGGGAAGGGGGGAGATTAGTTATGTTTACTATAGGTCTGTCATTTTATAACTGAATGCCACAAGACAGTGCTGAGGGAAGAAAACATTAAGCCTGACCTAAGTATGAAGGCAAAATAATTCCAAATTGCAAAGACTATAAAGAGTTCATGAAGCCACTCTAAAAAACTATCAAATCATTTCAACAAGAAACTTAAACCCTTAGGAAGGCAGGAGATGAAGCAATAGTGAATAAAGAGGTTGATAAAACTTTGGTAACTTTAAATACATATTTGAAAATTCCAATATCCCCTAATCACTCTGGAAGGTTGGCTGGGGAGGGATAAGATAATGTGGAACTAAGAACACAAGCCAAAAAAAATCAATGGAAAATGATTAGGGCAGGAATGGAGGAGTTGTTGAGTTAAATGTTCTTGTTGAAAGCAGGATATTAAAATACTGAGTACTAAAAAAAGAATATAAAAAATCCAAAATAAAGATTAAAAATTCAGCTTGGATATGACTTGGTTATCCTTTCTGGATTAAGTCTAATAAAAGTCCCAGGCAACCACTTTAACCTTTTAAATGATTTTTTCTACAGAGATATCAAAATGGAACAGAAGCATTTTTCTCTCTGGAAGACTTATTTCAATTGCTTTCATCGCAGCCTGAAAATCTACTGGAGGTAATTGGCTTTTATCCTTGCAGGAAAATATCTGCACTGACCTCTTTGTGAGTATATGTAACATTTTAACCTGGGATATACAGCTTTAGTACTTAATAGTTCCTAGTGCATTATAACCCCATCGACTGTGGCTCACTAGGCTCCTCTGTACACATAGTTCCCCCTTCCAAATAATCACAAAGGTATAATCAAATTCATAAAATCCATGTTGAATCAATATGACAGTACATACTTGACAAAATAAGGCACACCTTAAGTTTTTCTGGTAGCACTGTAGTTCCATGACAGTCTACAGAGTGAATTTAGCTTAGCTTAAACAGCTAGGATAAGTAATAAGTAACAGGAAAATATCAGATATAAGACCAGCTTTTATATTGACAATCTATTTTAAAATTTTCTGTGATGTTCAAAGACCTAATCTTTCCCCCATTATACCATAGTCTCATCTGAGCTCACATTGTGTAGTCAGTTGCCTGCATTTAAGGGAAGTTACTCATAGCCAACAGCATATCCTTAATTGTATAAAGGAGCTAACAAAGAGAACTAGAAATACTGCTTTGTGTATTAGATCTGGTGTTGAAATAGTTCATGTATTTACAGCACTTTTCCTTTCGTTTTTCAGGGAGTCTCACTGGGAGATATTACTCCTCTCCCCGGAAGTATCAATGATGGCATGAATTCCCCCACACATTATAATGTAAATTTTAGCCAAGCTCTAAGTCATGATGTAAGTCTCCACGAGGCCATGTTGCTATGTTCTGACAATACATTTAGAAGGGATCCAGTAGCAAGGACTTCACAGCCACAAGAACAAATTCTACAGTTATGTTCTCCTACTACCAATACTGAACAGACCTTTCCTGGAACTAATTTGACAGGATTTCTTCGGTTTATTGACAATCAGATGAGGAATCTAAGCCAAGACCATCTGTATGACCTTGATATAAACATATTTGATGAGATAAACTTAATGTCTTTGGCCACAGAAGGTTTTGATCCAATGGAAGTTTCTTGGCTGCTTGAAGAACCAGGTTATGATTCTGGGCTTTCCTTAGACTCAAGTAACAATAGCACCTCTGTTATCAAGTCTAATTCTTCTCACTCTATATGTGAAGGTGCTACAGGTTCTAGCAGTGACCTTTCCCACCATGACCTAGAAGGGGCTGTAGGAGGATACTGTCCAGAGCCCAGTAAGCTTTGTCACATGAATGACAGGAGTGATTGTCATTTTCATGGGGACTTTGCATTTCAATACGTATCACATAACCACACTTACCACTTACAGCCAAGTGCACTAGAATCCACTTCAGCATCTTTTTCATGGCCTGGGAAGTCACAGAAAATAAGTAGATACCTGAATGACACAGACAGAAACTTAAGCCGTGATGAACGACGTGCTAAAGCTTTGCATATCCCTTTTTCTGTGGATGAAATTATCCGCATGCCTGTAGATTCTTTCAACAGCATGTTAAGCAGGCACTATCTAACAGATTTACAACTGTCGCTCATCCGTGACATTAGACGAAGAGGGAAAAATAAAGTTGCTGCTCAGAACTGCCGAAAGCGTAAACTGGATGTAATTTTGAACCTGGAAGATGATGTATGTAGCTTGCAAGCAAAGAAGGAAACCCTTAAAAGAGAGCAATCCCAGTGTCACAAAGCTATAAACATAATGAAACAGAAACTGCACCACCTCTACCGTGATGTTTTTAGTAGGTTAAGAGATGATCAAGGTAGACCAATCAGTCCAAACCAGTATGCTCTTCAGTGCACCCATGATGGAAGTGTTTTGATTGTACCCAAGGAATTAATGATCCCAGGCCAGAAAAAGGAAAACCAAAAGGGAAAACGAAAAAATGAGAGAAAAAATTGAAGATGGATTCCACCAATACACATAAGCAGTTAGAAACTGATAAAGGACCACAAATCTGCTTCCAAGTTTAGCTCGTGTTAACTTTTAAGTACTGCAGCTTGAATCACTCAGGATGTTTTCAAGCTTATGTGGACAAGTTTAGTTATCAGTATCAGACCTGAGGCAGAAGCCACAACTTCATGAAGTCCTAATAGTATGTACAAACAATGTGACATGAAAACAGCCTACTTTGGTAGCCATTTCTTAAAGATGGTCTTTTTAAAAGAACACTGGATGCAGTTATATTCAAAACATGTTTTTTTGACTTAGAACACAATTTAACCTTAAGGTTTTTTTCAGTTAGCACTGAAGTTTAGTGACTTTTCAAGAGCCTTTTAGCTTAATTTTTATGAATACTTAACTTATACAGCTTTTTCTGTGGAAATAAACTTTATATTTGATTTTAAAAAGTGCTCACTTTTGCCTTTTATAGATTCTAAGCAAATTTATAGTTCTCCAAAATACCCATTCAAAAACCCAGTTGAATATCCAGCAAATAGGACAGCAATTAAATTACAAATTGATCAGACTCTAGCCAAACTGAAGTCAGTATGCTGAACTGACAATATTAGCCTCCCAAACTAACACAGAACATGACATGAAATAGACCAGGTTCTACTCTAGGATGCAGCACCATCACCCCACCCCCAATAATCCACGAGCTTTCAAAATACTACACTACATTTAGGCTTTAATGTCTGAGGACAGAGAGCCTCCCCCGCCACGTTAACTACCTGCATATGGGAAACTGGAACTCCCTGGCAGTAAAGCCAGCCTGTAGGGATGGCTGCCTTATCTAGGAAATTGACAAGTTCACACCAAAAAAAAAAAAACCCACCAACTTGCTTAAATGTGAAAACGTTATCAATCATACAAAAACTCAAGACTTACACAAAGGGATAAATCAGTAAATGAGCAGACTGAATAAAAGCAAAATGAAACATTCTCAAATAGGCAAAAAAATGATTTCATAAAAAGGACAAAGGAGACTTGAAAACTTGGTCAGGTCCTAGAATATGACAGCTGTCCAAACTGTGGTTTGAGAATAGTAACAGATCTGTCTAGTCTGTCTGATAGAGCTCCCTGAATGGTGCTAGTGTTAAGAATTTACCTACCAATCCAAGAGATGCCAACTTTGATCCCTGGAACAAGTGGCTGCCCATTTCAGAGTCGGGCACAACTGAACACCTACACACACAGTATCTGATTAGTAAAATATAAGGTTAGATATTAAAATCTTCACTACCTAGTATCATATCGGTTATTTTAGCTTACTGAAGTAGAGTGAGTTATAGAAAACTCCCATTTTAAACTGAACCTAGGCATGTTTCAAAGCATAATGCCAAAGTTCAGCTCTTCTGACTAGTTCTGTACAATGCCCACTTCAGTGTTGACTGGCTTTTTTTGCAAGACAACACACCTCATGCATTCTGGTTTCTCAGAGGCAGGACCACAAGTTATTTCAAGTTTGTAACAATGTCCATAAAACCAATTTACTTGTGAAAGTTTCTGCAACTGCAGATATATCCCGGTTTGCTCAATGAATGTCCTTTTCAGGTTCACCATCTTCCCCAGTCCCTGAAAACATCACAACACAGAACTATAGAATATCAAATGGGGAAGAAAGGGATACAGTTCAATAGTTGTAAACACTCACAGTAAAATTTAAACATTTGAAGATCTAAGGTATTTGGTGCACTGTCCCCAAAGGCGCATTAATGGAGCTATCACCAGCCAGTTCAATCTCATTTGCCATGGGCTTGTCTGGACTTTGTACAATACACACATTGGACTCTGGTACAATACTGAAGCTGCTTACTCTCCAGTGGTTATCAGCAGTCAAAGCCTCATCCCAGTATTGTTGTTCCCTACTTACCAATTCATACCCCAAGACTGACCAGACTGTTCTAGTTCTGAGGTCTTCCTGAGTTCAGACTGACCCAAACATTTCATTCTGAACTGCTCTTAACATGAAAGTAGTCCCTTTCCTATAGAACATATTGGTCCTGAAACCATCCCTTTGTGATAAAATTACATCAGTTGAAAATAAGGTGAAATCTGGTTCAACCACTTTTTTTCCCCCTATTAAAAGCTCACATCCCCCTTCTGGTACCTGAACAGGCCATGATATTCCCAGGTGAAATTAAGTTACTACTGTAATTCAAGCAATGCATGTGTTAATAAGTCAGTCATCTCTTTTAACCCCATGGCCTTGCTGAGATCCTGTGGAACTCTGGGGAAAAACAGAGTGGGTAGCCATTCCCTTCTCCACCCAGGGATCAGATTTCCAGCACTGCAGGTGTATTCTTTCCTGAGCCATCAGGCAGTTCAAACAATGGGTACTCAGTAAGATCTGGGTATTTGGGGTCCATTTCAAGGCTGGCTCCAGTTCAGCACTGACCTGACCCTTAGCAGTAGAAAGCCTAAATGCCAGAATTCCTACCCCAGAAAGTATTCCTATGGAACATGAATCATTGTTTGACAATTTTAACATATTTCACTTAAATGTTAAAATACCTGAATTAGTCTCCCTTCACCCATCATCTTCAAAGATCTGAATTTGCTTCTTTTATTACTTTCAGTAACAGCAGAGCAGCATTAAAATCATTGGGTATATACTACCTGAGAACATGTTTCAAATTTTGAAGACATGTTTAAGTGAAACCAAGACAAAACTAAACATGCACTTCAGGTATACTGAAATCAGTGATATTTTCTGCCTCCTGCAAAGGCACCATATACCCCCCACTTGAACAGTAACTGGATACAATTCGAGTTTGAGACCAACTTTAACTTGTACTCACACACTTACTTGGGATAGTGAAAACCAAAGAATATCCAGTTTCAAAACATTTCACCAGAGAAGCAGACACCAGGGGTGGGAGCCACCCCCCCCAAGATGGCTCCCAGTAATGCTTGCCTTTTGGTTATCACATGAGCCAACCCCCCCCCCACACCCACCCGCCACATGTGATCACAGGACAACTTTCAAACATGGGTTGCATTTTTAAGAATCTGTTGCTTCACTATGGGTGAAGGAAATAGCCAGCACCTATCTTCAACTCCTATCATTAGGCCATTTTGGATTCAAATTTTCAAGCCCCAATCACATTTTCAAGCTCAGGTTATACAACCCTGAGCTAGAATCAGTTAAGCTGTTTCCAAAAGCTTTATGTATAAATACACTGTGAAGTGAATATATTTAACAGTACTAATTTCCGTCTTTACGCACACTTTCTTAAACCTCATTTTAGAAAATTAGCAGCTCAACACAAGACACGCCAACATTTCAGATTACCTATTTCAAAATAAGTTCATTTCAGGCTGTTCATACATATTAAAATGTCTTCCCCCCATTTGTGCTGGTGTTAAACACTGGGTGTTCTAGGATTGTATTATACCAACTTGATTTATCTTCAAAGTTTAACTTCTTCACAGAGCTGGACGTTTTTAAGATCTTATTTTTCCTAATAAATCCACAGCCAGATATTAACAAGTTTATAGCTAATAACGGATGCAGATTTTAAACAAAGCTCATCTTCTGTTAGCCATTAGTTTGACTTACCTGTGAGATACCTCATTAAGAACCAAAACAGTAAAGTCAACTTTACTTTGTCCCCTTTGGTTTTTCATTGTTTCAAGTGAACATCCAAGTAACAGTCTTTGCTCACTATACCATCATGTTTAACCCTTCAAGACAACCATGATGCCAAGTATAATACAACAAAACAAAGCTAATTCATAGATTTTATGTCTCCATGCATTTGCATAGCCGCCTCTCTTGGACTTCAGCTGGCTAAAATCTGTATTTTATAACCACCACCAGCAACGTTGAACATACAAGGCAAAGCCAGAAATCTATAGCATTATTCAAACGCTGAATATACAGTGTATAAAGAATGGCATTTTATTAGGGACAGCCAGTAATGTCCACAATGCTTTTCTCATTTGTCTATCAATATTGAAAGGAAAATGGCAATATGCATTTGCTTTGTGAAACTGCTTTAAAAACCTAGGGGATGGCAATCCTTTAGACAACTTAATGTTCATAGAACAAGATTCACATTTTATGTGTAAACATTACACCAAGTATTTGAATACAAAAGTATTTATTTTATAACTTTATATTTAAAATAGAATTTTAATCTGTCTACTCACAAAACCTAATTCAAAACATAACATTTATCTCTCTGACTTGATGTTTACTCTTTTACAAACAATACTCAATTTGTAATTGTTTTATATTAAGACCCTGTAACTAAATGAAGTCTGTTTTATCAGAAAACATTTCCCTTTAATCTTAAAGAGTGCTTTTTTAAAATGAAGGCACCAACAAGAACTACTTTCAGATGGTACAGAATTTCTTATTTCTTGAAGACTCTGTGGTTGACCACTTCTTCATTAGTTACCTGCAGCAAGACACCTTCCTGCCAAAGGAAAAAAAAAGTATCTGAAGAAGTTTATCATGTTTGTCCAAAGAACCTAAATAACTTCAGTGGTGGTCTTAGGATCAAAGAAAGACTCACAGGTGCATACAGTAGAATATGCCCTGATTATCACATTCCTGAAAAGGCAATAAAGCCAGGCAATCAATCTCTGATGACATCTAAGAAATGAAATTTCAGCAGCCAACCTATATCTCTCCTATAGGGTAGGGGATTGGGAAAGAATTACTGCATTTAAACCCAAGTATTTAGAATTGGATATGTACAGATTTATAATGTAGACACTTTATTCATAAATACATATTATCTGAAAGTAGATCCAACCATCTTGCCCTACCTTTTCCTTAGCCTGATCCTGATATGCATGTAAAGCTAGAACAGTATCAAAATAAAAAAAAGGTCTTTATTTAAAAAAAAAAAAACAAAAACCTAGTTTACTCAAAATGCTTGATCCAAGAAATGTGAATACAGAAGGGTGTAACGATGGGAAATTTCATGATTTATTGAACTTGCAGCCTAACTTTTACCTACCATTTTACTACCAACACCACTGAAGGAACCAAGAAAAGCTTTATTAATGATCACTTGGCTTGCCTCAGCTGTTGAAATGAAGCACTTTACAGTCTTTGTGGCAGCAGAATATACTTGTCCATGGTTCATATCAATGCTAAAATTCCAGCAGGGAAAAAAATGATATGTTAAGCACCTGAATCTTCATAGAGGGGGAGGGGGTGGGAAAGAAGGAAAAAAAGGGGGAAAAAAAAACAACCAAAATAATATAAGTAAAATGACAGATTGGAAAACAGGGTTTATAAAATTATTCTCTTGAGTTTATAAAATTGTTAAACTCAATTTAATTTATAGCTATGTTATACTACATAAGAACCAACTATACTGAAAGACCATTGAAGAGTATTAGTTTATCTTTGGGGGAGGAAAATTAAGAAAGGAAAAGTAAATGAGATCTTACCTAAAGAAGTTTAACTGAAGCTTAGAACTATTTTGCTCTACACCCTCAGCTTTCGTTGGCATCCTTAAAAACTACTGTAGTTAAAGCTTTGTAGAAACAGCAGTTTCTTAAGACTGGCTGACCTTAGTAGCCGTCAAAGAGTTCTCTTGTACTAGACCTGTATCCCTGAAGAGTACCTCGCTGGGGTTATTTTCCTTTCCTTGCATTGAAGCAGCAGCATCTAAAAGATCTAAAAAGGTGTTTCTCCTTGCAGAGATATCCCTTAAGTTATCTAGATAATTTAATCCTCATGAATTGCAGACAACACACTTACATCTGACCAGCATTTATCTTACACAAATATAACAACAGCTTTGCAATAGACCTTAATTATACTACCCACTCCTTAACTTATTTAAAATAAAAAGTCTATAATTACACAATTTCCTTTAGAATTATTTTATTAAATCATAAATGTACAACAGCTTCTTAACTCTACACACGCACTTAAATTTTTTTAAAGGAAAAACGTTATGTCTTATTACACCATGATCCTGGCTAATAGCTTTTCAAAACTTTGAGAAAAATCTTAAAAAAGGTTTCACATGTCACCTGAAACTTACAAATTTAACATTATCAAAGAAGGAATGCTTCTACACTCTTACAAAGACCACTAGAAAGAAACAACAATTAAAAAGCTAAGAAACTGTCTCAAAGGCATTTTTTTTTTTACAATCCTTCCTCCACAGTAAGGTAATGTTATTAAATAATCCAATCCATTCACAAAATGGCTCTCTGCATCTGCTCTGGTGTCTTCTGCCATATCACTGCATATTTATGCATGACTGAGATAAGATTTTCCTTAACATTGTTATTTCGATAACCTGAAGCTGTTCTGTTACCTCTGGGCTCTCATCCTCTCCTATTTATACAGTGAAGCCTGTTTCAACAGAAGTAAAGAGTAAAAAAAAAATAGGTTATGAAATTATCCATCTAACCAGATTTTAAGGAAAGATAACATGATCCTAAAAAGCTTTTAACTCCTGGCAGCTAGGTCTCCCAAGACATTAACAATGTGAAACTTAAAAGCTACTTACCCATGGCAAATAGGAAGAAGCTCAGTATCTGCTTCTCCCTCCATAACCCCCACTTCCTCCACTGCCTCCTGGACCATAGTTTCCTAAAGTTAATAGAATAAGAGAAAGCAAACTTAATTTCCCAAATTATTTTATAACCACTCTTTAAAAACAAGCAGATCACAGACCATTACTTGTTTCTAGTTAACCTTTTTACTCAAGACACAAATTTCCAGATTCATATATTACCACTGCTATTCTTTTAGAGGGCTCTTTTCCATAATCATACAAGTTAAGAGATTTTGAAGTATATCCAGCGTAAGAAAATGTAAAAAAATCTAAACTTTCTCAAGAATAACAACAATTTAAACTAAAAATTCAGATTTACTAAGCTAGCTTTCAAAGATACAGTTATACAAAATTTATACCACTTGCAAAGTGCTCTCACAGCAAATTTGACTTTTTTCTTAGTCAGCCAAAAGGAAAAATCCCACTGAAAACATGTAATTCATAGATTTTACACTATTGGATATCTCCCAAAGTGATGCCGCATTCTTATTTTCCCACAACTCTAATCTCCATAACACTTTGTATTTGGTGGGACGTGTTACCCAAACATAAATAATGAACAATTGCCATCTTCAAGTCATGAAAAGTTAATTGACATTTCATCACTTATCTGAAAAATCTAATTACCTCCACCATATGGTCCCCCCATGTTCCTGCTACCACCAAAATTTCCACTCTTCATTGGACCATAGTTAGAAGGTTGTTGATTATAATTTCCAAAATCATTGTAATTTCCACTCCCGTAATTTCCTGTAAAAAAATTTGGACATTTTTGCACAATGAACCTCATACAATCAAGTATTAAACCGATGATACATGCTAAGTATCTTAGACAAATTTCCCACAAAATCAAATCAGAATGGAAAACACCTATCTACAGTTCTACATTTTTAAAGACAACTGTTGACAACAATGAAATGAAATTAAAAGATTTTTAAATAAGCCATTTATTTAAAGCCATTAATTCCAATCCAAATTCCCACATAAAGGTTGCAGGTGAATTTATTACCTCCTCCATAGTTGTCATAACCACCTCCGTAGCCCCCACCCTGGTTGCCATATCCAGGTCCTCCACCACCATATCCTCCTCTTCCTCCTCCATAACCAGGGCTACCTCCAAAATTGCCACCTATTATAAAATAAGCCTTTAAGTAATTAGTATTTTCAACGCCATTTGAACTGTCTTATTACATCCATTTCCAGCTTTCTAAAACAACTCAATTTTATAAGTAAAAAAGATTCTTTCTATAACATCTCCTCTAAAATAGCCTCAAGGGCAGATTCTGAATATCTACCTTGGTGAACAGTTGCCAGTGGGGAAGGCCTACCCACAAACCAACTGGATAAAACCTTTACAAATAATCTGTAATGCCACCGGTCTCCCCCAAAACTAAAGATACTATGGATTCTTCTTGATGGTATCTTGAAATACTAGTTTTATTTGTGTAAGATTATGGGGTAAGGTGGGACAGACAAGATGTGTGGACTAATGTGAATTACCTACCATTTCTCTTAAATAAAATGCCCACCATACCTTTCTCTTCAGTAGAAATGTGTGTGTGTGGGGGGGGACAGACCAGAAATTAGCAAACCTGCACTGACTCCTTAATCGGTAGTTTCAGATTGCTTGCAGTTAAGTGTAAAAAGTCATCTTTCTCATAAATCTAAATCAATATTTGGATTTCAAAGCAAAGCTAGATATAGTGACATGTAGGATTAACCTAAGTTATGCCTAATCAGTGCAAAACCAGAAATGAGGTCTATCCCCAGCTCAGTTTCAAACCTTTTTTATGAGGTTTGTCAGTAGGTACCTATCTTTTCCGTACTTCAACAAAACACATGAACTAATACTTAACAGTGGCTTAAAACCTTAGCTGGACATAGAAGTACACTAGGTATGTTCTGGAAAAATTCTCTTGGGGGCTTTTGGGACATTGTCCTGGTAGATTCATTCTGCTAAGAGATGAGACAACACAGTGCTCCTACAGACACTACCCTGTCATAGTGTTCATCTTGCTCATAACCACTTTTTAAGTTTTAGGGAAAACACTATACAAAATATCACTATCTCTCTCCAATTCTTTTGCTTGAGAAACAATTGGGCATCTTTTAAATTCTCATTTAAAATCTACCCAATTGATGGTGCAGCAGTATACCACCACCTGCAAGTAATTTTTTTGCTAATTTTAAATAGTTAAGATGAAAATTTAGAAGAGACATTTCATGTTTATGCTCACATGGACAGCACACAGTGTGATTAAGATTTTAGACATGTATTATCAAAAAGTAGAAAAAACTGACCTCCAGGTCCTCCTCCATACCCATTATAGCCATCTCCAAATCCACGGCCACTTCCGTATCCATCTGTTAAAGGCAGAAGAAAAGGAGGATTATTTTATTCTTGTTCATGTCACTCAATTTTTTAGCCTCTACTTCCTCCAGGTTGTCCACTTATAAAAAGCAGTTAACAATGGACAGTGGCAGTTTTTCTACTTACTACATAACTGAGATTAACCCATATATAAAGCCTAAAACAAACTTTTAGATCTCTTCAAACCTCTACACTATTTCCACTATTCATAAAATGTCTCCTAAATTTAAAATGGCTACAATGTCCTTTTAACTCTTCCAGAAACTGAAGACCATAAAACAATCTCTGCAATTATCTGTCCTTGATTAGAGCTATACAACTCTGATTTCAAATGTTACCTCTTGCCAACCAAATTAGAATATCCCATTAGGACAGATCTCACTTTAAGTCTTACAGATAACAAAGTAGGTTGGACTTCCTAGATTCCAATCAAAACTGTTTTTCAAGCACATTCAACCCTCCTAAGCTTAGAAGGTGGACTTACCAGACCCTCCTCTAAAGTTACTTCCTGGTCCCGGTCCAAAATTTCCACCGCCACCACGAGAATCTCCAAAACCAAAGTTGCCTAGAATAAACACCCTGGTTAGTAACTAACATTTATACAAATAAATCTTAAGAAAAAAATGGAATTACAAGTTACCTCCTCTTCCACTTCTAGAACTTTGGACTTCTTGCATTTCTTGTCTAGACAAAGCCTTTCTTACTTCTGCATTATGACCATTGATAGTATGGTATTTTTGCACTGGAATGAAAAGTTCAGAGTCCATTAAGTCAGCATCCTGTAATAAGCTAAGCTTTTTTAAACAAAGTTGTAAGTGTTAACATACCCCAAACCTAAAACTTAAGAGCCACAATCCTACCACTTATGGACACTTACACACAATCTTATCCACAGGATCATGGTCATCAAAAGTAACAAATCCAAAGCCTCTTTTCTTTCCAGACTGCCTGTCAGTAATTATCTCAATGGTATCAATTTTTCCATATTCCTCAAAGTAATCTCTAAGATGATGTTCCTCAGTATCTTCCTTAATTCCACCAACAAACAGTTTCTTCACAGTTACATGAGCCCCTGGCTTTCCAGACTCCTGAAATAAGAGGGAAAAAAAAGTCATCCTGACAGAAAAACCACAAACAGGAGTAAGAGCACACCAGGTAATAAGTATGGCTTCTATCTTATGGCCAAATACTAAGTAAGGCACCTTTATGATAAAAAACCTAGCCTTATACAGGTAGCGTTTTTTTCTTTGAAAAGCCACTAACTGTGAAACAGAATTTCGGCCCAAATTGTTTATTGAACAAACAAGTTGCCTATTTGCTCACCTCTCTTGCAACAGCACGTTTTGGCTCAACCACTCTCCCATCAATTGAATGAGGTCTTGCAGCCATGGCAGCATCAACTTCAGCCATGGAAGAAAAAGTTACAAAACCAAAACCTCTTGATCTTTTGCTTGCAGGATCCCTCATTACCTTGAAATACAAAGCAGTGATGTTACCATTTAATCTCATTACTTACAGCATTTTAAAATAATGAACATGAATTTAAGCGATTTTTTTCTAAGTCACTTAACATCTTTAACAGAGAAATCCAACAGTTGAAGGACTAGTATCCCTAAGCACTTCCACAATTAACGTACCACACAATCTGTAAGTTTTCCCCATTGCTCGTAGTAGTTCCTCAAACTTTCTTCTGTAGTTTCAAAGCTCAAGCCACCAATAAAGAGTTTACGGAATTGTTCCTTTTCTCTCTGCAAAGGAAAACAGCATTTCAATTTTTATTTACATTTCCTCTTTGTATGCTGGAAATAAAATTCTTAAATATGAGGTGACCTGCTGGCAGAGTACCTTTTTCCTCTCCAAAGGAACAGTTTCTAAAGTTTTCTGGGGGGAAAAAAAAAACTTACATCAAATTTAAACCATATGTTAAACTGCATATTAGCTGTGTTACACCAAAAAAAAAAAAAAATTGCCTCAGCCAAACTACACGTTTCAAAATCATTATGCTTGATATAAATTTACTTGACATTAAGTGAGTTTAAACAAATATAGCATCACTCAGTTTAAAAAAACATCTTTCTGAAGAAAACAGCAAATCTATTCCCTGGTGACTGTAAAGTTAAAAAATTCTTATCAACATCTGCATTCGATCCTATAGCATCAGAACAGAGACGTTCACTTTTACATATTCAAATACAAATTTTAAAAATATAACTTTTGCTTTATAACCCACAGTTCCATTTCTGGATTTAGCATTTAAAAAATGAAGTTTCCCTTCATTGCTCCCTCTGGTGGTGATTATAATGTAACTCAATTTTCAACACCCTGAAAAACTTACTACCAACTCTCCAGAGAAAATCTTAAACGTTCAATATATGTGGCAAAAATAGCCTCAAAATATATCTTTTCTGACCAAAGTAAAATGACTTTTATGACTTACGATGTCTAAAGCACATAGTTTTAACATAGCTGGTTTTGTTGACGGCACAATATTACTGAACCAAAAGACAAATACAGTAAAAGACTCTGTAATCACCTCACTTTTCAAAAACCATAAAAATATTTAAATTACCACTGTGACTATCCCCTCTAGTTACAAGGTATCACTACTACCATTTACACTTCACCATGTAAAACTCAGTGGTCTTCTGGCAAATTACAAAGCATAAAACAACTTTCACGTGAAAAGAGCCTGAGCTGAAATCTCAATCCTTACAAACCAGCACGCATGTAAGTTACATTAATAGCTCTGTATTTTGGGCTATCAGTTACGGAAGCTTGGATCATTGTATTTGGTTCTCAGTTAACTAGGTTAAATAACATTCAGAAACGAAAGTTAGCCACCAAGTGGATGTACTTAAATTTATTAAATAGACCACAACACTCAACCCATAGTTCCATGAAGTTTTTCTCTCCATGCACGAAATTCTCCCAATAGTTCAGAAAACAGTGATAATTGACTTCTATGCCTAAGATTCTGAAATTTTTGAAAAGACAAATTCTCAAACTAGCTTAGGAAACACTTAAAGAACAATTAAAACGGTAACTTGGCATACTGGTATTTTGGACACTCACTTAAGCATATTTTATTTATTCCAAACACTTGTCAGTTAACTGGCCTTTAAAAACCCAAATAAATTATAGAGACTAAAATACATCTACAACATTACAAATCACTAACAAAAGGCAAAAACTCATTACTTACCTCATTTTCCAAACTTACCCGCTGTCCACTATCGATTACAAACAAAGTTATTTTATAAGCGTGCTTAGGGTCAATGAAAATACCCAGGCAGACCCCCTTCGCTTGAGACCTTATGCTTATCAAATGTAATCATCAACCATGATTGCAAACATAAACGAGAAAAGCAAGTGACAAAGTTCAAAAACATAGTGGCTCAGCCTAATAAAAGTTTTGTATACAGCAGAACACGCATTGAGGAACCGAGCCATGTTTAATCAGAGTATAACTAAACTCATAATTTCAAGTATATCACTAAAAAACACCCGTGGCCTTACCCAGTAAAGATTAAATTCCCCGGTAAAAATACTACTTAAAATACAAATAAATCATACGATTAAAAAAGAATCCGTCAGGAAAATAAAGGATTCTCAACAGAACACCGCCCCCCGCCAAAGACCACCTTCCCCACGGCCTCCCGCAAAATCGACAATAATATTCTCTAAATTTTTTCATTTTAAGTTTCCTACGAGTCAACTGTCTTTTCAATCACCGCAAACTCAGGTAAAACTGTTACTCAAACAAGGACTGAAAAACAAAATGTGGGGTCTTTATACCGTGGCTCGCTTGAAACCGGGCCCAACACCCTAGAGGGTTTTACCTCCTAAGCCGAGCGAAACCGCCCAGGAGAACGCCGCCCCTCCCCCCGCCCATCGGTGCGGCTCCTGAACGCAATGGCGCCATTTCATCGAGGGGAAGGGAGCGAGCCTCTAATGAGGTGCGCAGGACTTTAAAGCTCCAAGCTCCCTAAACACTCGGAATCCACCTCGAAACAGCATGGAAACAGTCCGAAAAGAGAAATAATTACCCACTTCCACTCCTCACTGATAAAAAGTCAAGCTAGTCAAATTTAGAGAGTTAAAAAGAAATCGCTGCGAGGAAGGAGAGAAATGAAAATGGCGGCCGCCAAATCCGGTTCCCGGGAGGGGGGAGGGGAAGCTCCGCAGCCCGGTTCACTAGAACCCGAAACCCGCCGAAACGCTCCAACGCGGGGACGCCGAGACCCCCAAACCACCCTTCTTTAAAAACGGAGTAGGAATTCCTGCCTCCGCGCCCCACTTTCAGTAAAGTGGGGCTGCGTCCGCCATGTGGAAGCTTCCCATCCCCCACCCCCAGCAAAGGGAAATGGCGCCGTGAGGCTGAGGGTGGGGAAGGTGCTGTACAATTAGGCCTCTGCTAACGACCCCTCTCCCAAAATATCCTGAGACCAACCGCTTATGAAGTGGCCCAGTTTCGCTGCCGCTCTCCCACGGAGGCGGATGGCCGACTTCCAATAAGGCGCCAACGGCCTCGCCATGCCCTTTCCAACAACTCATTGATTTCAAACCCGTTACCTCCATCGCGGACTCAGTCGCTTCAGCCCGATTTCCCGCAGCCGAGCGAGATGAGAGAGATCTCCGCGGACGAACACGAACCGGACTCGTCCTGGCGCTGTAGTGAGAACTGCCGCTGCTCGAGAAACAACACCGCTGGAGCACCTCCACTCCAGACCCGGCGCTGCTGCTACTGCCGCTAGAGCCGCTGCCGCCGCTTTTCTAGAACCTTCCCCCCGACTAACGCGTCTTCCCCTACGTCAGGCCGTTGCGTAAACGTCCTAACCGCCGCCAATGGCGGGAACGCTCTACGACCTCCTAGCGCCAAGTACGTGCCCCTCCCCCCTTAAGGCCAGCACTGGTGCTGGACGTCAGTTGCGTAAAATGGCTCTGTAAATTGCGGAAAGCTCGAGTCCTGCGTATTTCTGCCTCTCGGAATTGGAGCCTGCCCCCGCAAGGCCGGTGAGAAACGGTCGCGCAGTTTGAAATTAACGCTGTTGGGAGGAGCTTAATCCTCAACCCAAAGGTCCAGCCCCCTCAACCCGGGAGGTGGTCCTTACAGCCACGCTTTGATAGCTTTTCCCCGGCCTCCAGTTAAAAAAATCTTTGTAGCCTCTTCCACTGTGTTTTCCCTCCCCCACCTTCTCCTATCCTCCCCTCTCTGCGCGGAGGGCCGACTTGCCCCTTCCGGAAACACCCGAAGCGACTTCTAGTCAACAAATTACACTTAACGATCCACCACCCTAACCCTGGCCAGTGTTTTGGGGGGTCCACATTTCGGGTAGTCGCAAGTGGTGCTCGTTCTTAGTTCCCGATTCCTCCCACCCACCCCCAGCGTTTGGAGGCACCCAACCCCAGGGGCGAGGAAGTGGGCGGAGTCCTGTTTTGGCGCCAGTCACTAAGGCTGCAGCAAAGCAGGAAACACCTCCGCCGAGTAGACTTACGTCGCGGCCCTCAGGCCCCTCTCGCCCTCCCCTCCGGGGACCACCAGGCGCCACGCCACGAACTCTTTGAGAGCCGCTGTCACCTCCCCCACCTTTCCACCCCCCCACCCCCTTGGGCCCGGGCTCGGGCTCCCGGCGGGCACTTGGCGCCACCTTCCCCTCCCCCTGGCGGCGGCCCCGCGCGCAGCGCTGCTCCCCAGCCCCCCTCCCCCTCGAATGTGACCAGAGCTTGAGGCGCGCAGGGCCGGAGACGCCGCAGACCCGGGACTCGGAGCAGCTCAGAGGCGGTGAAGTCGGTGTCTTTCTTTCTCTCTAGCTTTCACTCCGTGGTGTTGCTTAAGATACCACATAAGCCCCAGAGACCCCCATTTCCCCGCTTCCTATCCTTTCTCGCCGGACCCCGAGTCAGGAGCTGGCGGGAAGGAAAGGAGAAGCGAACAGAGACCCCGCGGCGGGCCTGGCTCCGGGCCGGCGTCTGTAGTTGGTTTAGGGGACGAGACTTCACAAGGTTGAAAGCTGTATTGCCACTCGCCTTATTTCTAGACAAAGCGCATTTTTCCCCTCCCCCATCCCGGACGAGGTTGAGGGGGCCTTCCTTCCCGTCCCGTGCCTGGTCGGCGACTTGGGCCTCCAGGGAGGGCGGTTCTTTCTCCCGCATTCGCGCAGGCGAGTGTCCGCAGACTGCGGCGGGCGCTCCGTTACGTGGCCGCCGCCGGGTGGGGAGAGGCGCTGGCCCCGTGGCGCAGTGCCCTTGAGCCCCCGCGCCACGGCCTTTGTTTCTCCCCGCGGATGCGCTGACCACGAGGCCGGCTCTCGTGTGGCGGGGGTGGGGGCCGGGCGCTATAAGGCCTCTTTAAGCCGGGTGGGGTAAGGGTTTAAGGGGAGCGGATGAAAGTGCAAAAATAGCTGATTTGTTTTCAAAAGTGGCACGAAATGTAACTGGAGCATCTCGGTGTGTTTTAGTTTTTCGACTAGTGATTGGGAAGGTCTCTAAGAAGAAACCAAGTTGGAATTAAATTACATAGACGACTCTTCGGACTGTTAATAAGTATAGAGGAAAAATTCACACTAATTATTGTAATCGATTGGGCAGTTGTCTGGTTTTGAACCAAGTTATTTTGCTCGTTTTTTAAAAGGCTGACTATGGTTTAAATGGGATTTGGATTGAGGAAAAAAAAAATTTGTCAAATTTTTACCCTGTAAAGCTTTCGCGGATACTATGTCCTCAGTAAGGTTGTATGGATAAGTCACAGCACTAATACACTCTCAGGCACGTATCCCTAGTTTACACAGAATCTTAAAACTGCTTGTCAGAGGGACTTGTATATACGTTTGATGACATGAGCTACCTAGGTGGGGGTTGGAATCCAAACAAAACTTGTGTGTAGCTATCTTTTTATGTCTTACAAACATCTTAACTGTCATGCATTTTTCTAGTAATAGCTCTTCAAGTCTGCAATAAAAAATGGCCTCCAATAAAACTACATTGGTAAGTTAATGAAAACCTAAAGTATTTAAGGATCTAACTCCCAACTTTTTTCCTCCAGAAATTTTAACTTTGCATCTCTGTGGTTGGGAAATTACACCCATATATAGTTCCAAGTCCCCTTTCCTCCACAGCTGTTAGGGGGAGAAGTTAGGAGCGAAAAAGGAAATTATTACATTCACTTCATAGTGTTTCGATTCATTTAAAAGAAACCTAATTTTGGGAGGGTAGCACAATGTGAATTTTGCCAAGTATTTTTATCTTGGAAATTTATGTGACATGGAAGAAGGTTACAAGCATAGACAAGGCAATAAAACCTTGTTGATTGGTATACTGTTCTCTAAGTTACTCTATACTGAATTCTAGAGAAAGCAGGTATTTTCAGTATTGCCCTGTTTAAAGAATGGATATCTTGTACATTGAGACGAAAGTCATTGTGTCTTTAGAATTGTTTTGGTCACTGTCATGTTTCAAACGTGCTTATTCTAAAATACAGAAGGGCCTTAAATTTAAACCATTGCAGTTCAGTTTTTTTAAATACTCAAGCATGAAAAACATCACACATATGTCCAGAAAAGAGAGAAGACTAGATCTTCTGAGCAGTTTTTTTCCTCTCCAGCAGTTTCTTAAACCCACAGTTTGCATTCTTAGATTTCATTAACAGTTCTACAAATATGTTGACATGTGTATTCAGCCATGTTAAGCTACAAATTTTAACATAAGCATTGAAATATTTACATAGAAATCACGAAATTCAAAGTTATGGTTCCCACAGTATGTAATTCTAATACATTGCATTAATAATTGCAAGTATATGAAGGTTAGTGTTTTAAACATTTAAATGAGCAAAACATTTCATTTTGGTTTGTGAATTCTCCCCTTGGGTTTCACAACTAAAAGGGCAAGTTGGTGGGCTTTTTTGTTTCATCATTAGATTGCACTTTTAAGTCAGACATCCTGAGAAATGTTTAAATATGAAATATAAAGCCTGTCTGGTGGCATTATTTATTCCCAGTCACCGATGGGGAAAGCTCAAAGCATCTTCCAACACTTTCTCAGGAATGAACTCTCCTTCAAATTTCATAATCAGTAAACCAAAATATAGATAATTAAATTGGCTTTACATTCACCGTTATCCTTAAAGTATTGGATGGAAAAGGAGCTACCTGTCCGAGACTGTGGGAATGAATAATATATAGATACAGAAAGCAAATAGATGTTTCTGTTAAAGTTAAATTGCTCCTGCTTACAGTTTGATAGTCTTCCGTATCTACCTTTCATTTTAAAATTTTGTTAGTGTTGTGAGGTAATGTGTGCTTTAAATGGGAAAGTGAGTGGATTTTCTCTTGAAAAAGATGAGCATTTGAAACTAGCTTATGAGTGCTATAGTAGTAAATACTTTTTCTCTGCTAAATTTTTTATCTTTTAATTTTCTGTGTTTATTTTTGTCTCTTTACTCCATTAGCCTCTTAACTTTCTTGGACATAGTTTTGCTTTTCGTTTAGGATCAGTATTTAGTAAGTTTTTGTCTATGTTAATTTTTCTTCATTCTTCCCACTACCACTATCTTTGTTGTACTGTACAGAGGCAGAAAGTTATTGGACTGAGTACAATACCCAAGTATCTTGACTCATGAAAGTTGTACGGCTTAACATGGAGAATGATATCCAGCAAAATCAGATGCTTGCTGCATTATTTAAATTTCACAGGATTTTTATTTCTTTCACAGGATTTTATTTCACAGGATATTTATTTAGAAGTGTGTATACACTTCTAAATGGTTACATACTTTTTAATGTCCTTTGTAATCTTGAGGCATTGGTGTTAATTTCCCTGCTTTCGTGCAATGTGAGGGATGACTTTAGTAATTGGACAGTTAATTTTTTTTTTTTAATAACACCTGTTTTAAGGTGAAATGATTCCAAGGTGAGCATAATGTGGGGTTTCCCCCCTTGGTGTCCATTTTGAGTTACTGGAAAGTAGATTGGAGAGGATCTTGGTGTCCTGCTTCTCTCTCAGTAGTGTTACACACACACAGACGCAGTTAAAACCTGGTTTTAAGTGAATTTCATTGACCAATTTAGAGTCTTTCTCTCGAGAAACCAAGAAAAAAGGATTTTTTTTCTCATTAGAGAATTTAAATGATCCAGCATTTTGGCCTCTTGAAGTAACAGTGTTACACATTTGTTTCAAGTGGTCAGTAATGTCTACCGAAATTATGGGGAAACAATTTTGTCCTCCTTAACCTATTTATGGTCTCCTTGGTTGACCCTGCAGTTGATATCAGGGTTCTGAACCACGTTTTCATTCTGCAGCTATCTTTTCTGTTTATTGTTCAGATTTTAACGTTGGTGTTTGAATTGCAAAAGGGGGTCTTACATAGTGTTTGGGGGCTGTATTTTTAATGGGTCTATGATTCACCTAATAAGACCTGTTGCTGTTATTCTCCTTTGTATTAGTCTCTAGGAGTTTCTAATTGTTTTTTTGCTGTCTTGTAGCTACAATGAGTGAAAACTCTACTAAACTTGGTCTTGTAGACTATGTAGAAATAAGACTAGGAAAAGATAAAACAATTTTCAAGAGAAATGTCTTTGATTAAATTATTTCAGTGAAGGGTGGTGGGTGATAGGTTTGAGCTAAACCCACAGACTCAACCATTCCTTTATTTTGCTGATTATCTGTTAACTTATTCAGAAAGTGTTTGCCTTGAGATATAAAAGTGAAAATTTAGGTGTTAAATGCAATGGTAATACCAGCAGTTTTAGCCTTTATTTTATTTTTTTTTTTTAGCCTTTAAAATGTACTAAAAAATGTAACAAGAAAAAGACATTTCTTAAATCTCTCTCTTTTGTTTCAGCAAAAAATGGGAAAGAAACAAAATGGAAAGAGTAAAAAAGTTGAAGAGGCAGAACCTGAAGAATTTGTAGTAGAAAAAGTACTGGATCGCCGTGTAGTGAATGGGAAGGTGGAGTATTTCCTGAAGTGGAAGGGATTTACAGAGTAAGTAATCTCAGTGCTTTTCTTATATGTTTAACTGTACTTAAGTAGTGTTTAAATTTTGTTTTTAGCCTAAAATCTTTTTATTCATTTTCTCATAGGTTTTTTTGAATTTAAAGGCACGTTTAATCCAAGGTATCTTTTTTAAAGAGTCAAGTCTTCAGCCTGCAATTGTAAACAAGTAGATTTGAGACTAGTTGATCACCTTGGAGAGTCAAATTTATATAATTATATAGAGTACAGGTTGCTTTTTTAAATGTAGTTGGATACTGTACTAATTAATTAATTATATTGTTTCCCTGCAGTGGACATTAAAAAATATTGAAGTTATATGAGGTATACTAGTGGGTCTTAAACAGAAGTGCTCATCACATAATTCAGATCCTACACTAGGCCTACTATTCTCCTAATCTCTAAGTAGAGCCTGGGCATTTTTTAAGCGACCTGGTTCTTCATATTCCCTGTTACTAATTGCTATCAAAACCAGTCTTTATGATGTTACTGTTTTGTGAATAACTTACATGCAGAAATATACTCAAACTTTATCATATACAGTCTACTTGAATTCTAATCTTACACCACAAAAACAGCAAGACTCTGAGCAGTGACTATTGAAAATGCATAGGTGGAGATGGACAAAAGTTTTCTGAGCTTAGTTGAGATGGGGAGTATGATGGTTCGCTTATCTTCTGCTTTTTTTACCATTCACATTTAAAATCGCCTCCACAGCAATTTGAGAATTATGATTTGAGTGGAAGGTTTATGTTTCTCTGTTTTATTCTTGCAGTACCCTTAGTTGAGCTTAAGTATATGTATGTAAGTTTGTGGTTTAGGCACTAGGAAAAAAATTCCTGCAATTAGAACCAAATCTGCAGTATTTTAAGTAAGACTTAACCAATTTGCTAAGAAGTGATTACCGTCATATGGCATACAGTTTTATGGGCTTTTGTTTTATCCTGTGAGGCATTAAAAGCTGTTTGTATCTTACCCATCAAAACATTGGAAAATTAATTCCTCCCCTTTTCTCTTCATGGTTAGTGTGGCCACTAGTGTGAATAAGACCTGCTATGTGCAGTATAATGTATTAGGTAATATTTGATTATAATAACACTGCAGAATGCAGGCTCCACTTTAGCTCTTTTGTCCTCCTCCAGTCTTAAGTCTGCCAATTTGAGAGTCTTGAGACATCAACAGACCTTGTAACCAGAGGTTTAGAGAACTTTCCTAGCATCTCTAAAATGATTCGTTTCATTGTGTGTAGTTCGTAAAAGTTTTTTGGATCAAAGCACAGAAAGTTGGCAATTTTGTCACAAATGTTTCAGGCTGATCTCAATTTCATATTTGGTAATTGATATTCATTTTCTTTCCAGCCGTTCTGAAAAACATGAAAATGATCATCTTGGCCTTATATCAGGGATTGGCAAGCTTTCTCCCTAAAGAGCCCATACTAGAAGATAATCTGAGCTTTTGGGGCTGTGGCTTTCTGTCCCAGCTACTTTGTGACTGTAGTATAAAAGCAACAACAGGCAATATAGTAAACAGTGTTCTAATAATGCTTTTGCTTATGGGTCCCAAAAACATGGTTTTTATTTTGAAATTTTTTCCCAACCAATTAAAAATGTAAAAAACATTCTTTCTTCATTTCCCAATTTGAGTACCCAGCAGAAATTGAAAATACTGTCTCATGTTTGAGAATGCTTCTGAATTTTCTGAATTATGTTTTTTAAAACACAGTATTGGAGGCCTTAACTCTAGGCACTATCTGATAAAGTAATATGGGATGGGATCCAGAATCCACTTTTCTGAAAGAAAGTGAGAAATTCCAAAGTGAGTTTTCTGTGTAACTTGGAAAAATATTAGCTGCGTTTATTCTGCTAGTCAGGTTCAGTTACCTGGGAGGTAATACAACAGATTACCCACTTAGCACAGACTGTGGATGTAGACGCAAAATGAAGTACAGATTCTTCATGTAGGAGGTAGGGGGTAGCGGGAAGTATCTGCAGTACAGAGGGCTTTTTGTCAGGTATTATTAAATTGATCTGGACGGTGGTTATTAACCAAGAACTTTTTTTTTTTTTTAAACAACACAGTGCAGACAATACTTGGGAACCTGAAGAAAATTTAGATTGTCCAGAGTTAATTGAAGCATTTCTTAATTCTCAAAAAGCTGGTAAAGAAAAAGATGGAACAAAAAGAAAATCTTTGTCTGACAGTGAATCTGATGATAGCAAATCAAAGAAGAAAAGAGATGCTGTAAGTATAAAACATTGGGCCAGCAGACTGGCTTCTTTGTAAAAGGATGGCTTGATTTTTTTAAATACTTTTTAAGACATGGATACTTCAAAAATATCATTAAAAAGGCTCTTTAAATACTTAATATTTAGGATGAAAGGAGAGGCATGGTTTAACCCTACATTGTATAAATGTCCAGTAAGCACTTACATTTCTTTAAATCATTGTGCTACTGATATTTCAGATACATTGATGGATTTGGCACCAGATGAGACAATTTCCTCTGATCTAAACCAGCTGTCTTAAATAAAAACAATACAAAGTTAGATCATCAAAAATCACTTACAATACAGTGAAAACAGTCTACATCGCACATTCTGATTATAAAACATTAGTGAGTGGTGGTGACCAAAACTTTGGCGTATGATCCTTGTATTTCAAAAAAAATACTTCGATTTTGAAGTATATAATCTCGGATAATAGTTTTTTAATTGGCTGAATTGAGAAAACTGGTTCACTCACTGTGTGTATATTTTGAACCAGCCTTTGCTTTATTGATTTCTCTGTGGCTTTGGACAGATTACATCCTTGCTTTTTACTCTCAACTTTAAAACTGATTATACTTGCCCTGCCTTTTGGCCTAACATGGTAATTTAGGGAAAAGTCTTGGGTCTGAATTATATCTAGGCTTGGGGACCTAACATACAATATAGATTTCTTGATAGGGACTTTGGATTTAAAAATAGGTAATTTGAACTATATTCTAAGTACTTTACAGGTAGTCCATTAACTTAATGACAACTCTGTCAAGATCATAGGTGTATTATTTTTGTTTTTATAGAAGGAAAACAGATGTGGGCTACAGATTTGGTTCTGAATGCTTTAGCAACCAAAGCAAAAAGGTGGCAATGTTAAGAATCAGTTATAAGTAAATTGAAAGTCTACCACATGCGCCACAGAAGCACCAAAATAACAGTGTTGTTTAGTTGCTAAGTCCTGTGGTACACTTTTGGAACACCATAGACTGTGTAGTCTGCCAGGCTTTTCTGTCCATGGGATTTCCTACAGAAGAGTACTGGAGTGGGTTGCTATTTACTTCTCCAGGGGATCTTCCTGACCCAGGAATCAGACCTGCATCTCCTGTATTTGCCAGTGAATTCTTTACCACTGAGCCACCAGGGAACAATAGTTATCCTGTATTGTGCCCATGTAATGTGCCAGGCAGTGTTCTGAATAACTAAATTTGCGTTTCATATACTTTGAAATGTCTATGAAACAGATAGTATTAATAGTACGTATTTTATGGGAAATGAGCCTGAATCACAAAGAAGTTAACTTGCCCAAAGCCACAAAGGTTAGGCACATCATTATAACCTAGGCAGTGTGACTCCAGAGCTTGAGGTAGTGATGTAAAAGTCTCATGAGGGAACAAAAGGGTTTGTTACACTCTACAAAGTTCTCGAGGATCCCAAAACTCTTGTTTATATGGATTATAACGATCAGTACTAACTGCATTTGAAATTAAAGTAGAATTTATAAAATACTGTATTTTCAGTTAGAATAATAAGGCCTGGCGTTTTACATTTTTGCAAATTTTGTCAGTGTTTGTCTTAAGAAGACTTTAGTTCAATATTCAGTTTGCTGTGATATGTTGCTTGGTAGAAGTATGTGAAGATTATGTCAAGTCACAGATAGATGAAAAAAGGAGATCATGAAGATAAATGGTCCAGAAGGTTTCCAGCATCCCTGGGGTCCCTCAGACCACACTTTTGAGAGCCACGGGTTTATTTTTATAAGGTTTCTTATCATTCAGATTGATTACAGCACTGATTACTGTCAGTTTTTTAAACTTTTTATGATTTTGCTATTTATAGTTTGTACTTTTAAAAATAAGTAATTTAGACTGATTCCTGGAAGTAACTTGAAATGCACTTTCAAGAATTTATAATCATTAATTAAAAATAAGAGATTTGGATTTTTTCCTGCCTTGTGTCTTTGAAAAAAAATTTGTTTTCTTGATTTATGATTCAGAATATTTTTAGAGACATCCAGATTTATTTTTTCTGCTTATAAGTTTAATGTAAATTAAAAGGTGTTTTAGTACTCTTCTTCTAATCATTTGTTTCACTATCAGAAGGCTCTATGTCATGAAGACAAATTGGAAGTTAATATTAGTTTGCTCTATATTGAAATGTATGCGAACATTTGTATAATCATTTAACTTCTGAATAGGCTGATAAGCCGAGAGGTTTTGCCAGAGGTCTTGATCCAGAACGAATAATTGGTGCCACAGACAGCAGTGGAGAATTAATGTTCCTCATGAAATGGTGAGTGTGCTATTATTATATTTTAAAGTAAGAATAGATAAGTTTTTTATTAAAAAAAAAAAAAACAACTTGTGAATTTTTAAAAAACCTGTCTATCTAGTCTTTATAAATAGTTAACCATCATTAGGTAGCAAGTTGGTTTTAGTCACCCAAGTCTTGGCTGACTCTCTGCAGTCCCAAGGACTATCGCCCACCAGGCTCATCTGTCCATGGATTTTCCAAGCAAGAATACTAGAGTGGGTTGCCATTTCCTTCTCCAGGGGATCTTCCTGACCCAGGGATCAGACCTTTGTCTCCTGCACTGGCAGGTAGATTCTTGGCACTGAGCCACCAGGAAAGCTCTAGATAGAAAGTAGTTATCTGCTGAAAGAATGATTCACGTTACTTAGCTAAAGCAGACATTGGCAAACTGTGACCTATCTTGGAAAACGAAATTTTATTGGAACACAGCCACAAGTAACCACATAACCCTCTTGAAGCACTTAAACATGTTTTGATTAAATTACGATTTTTTAAATGCATGGTTATCAATTGACAAAAAAATGTTCAGGCATTTTAACTGAATACTTTTTTCTCTCATGACAGGAAAGATTCCGATGAGGCGGACTTGGTACTGGCAAAAGAGGCAAATATGAAGTGTCCTCAAATTGTAATTGCTTTTTATGAAGAGAGACTAACTTCTGAGGACCATTCTAAGTTTTTTGTATGTGTATACATAAAAGACATATGTAAATGGTTGGGAGTTAATTTTTTGTTGTGGTTTTTGTTTTGGTAAATATATTTAAACAACAGCCTTTCATAACGATGGATAAGCCCATGTTCTGGAGTTAGATCATTTTGAGCAATATAAGAAATAACTTCAACTTAGATTGAAAATTTAAGTCTGAACCTTTCAAATTAAATAATTTTGTAATTAGACAAATTAAGCAGTTTAAATTGGGTAATTTTTTAAAGCATCCCTATCAGAATCTACATCCATATCTGCATATAAATGTAGTTTTATATGCAGAAACCCTGGAAGGAAAATTTTTATCACCATCAACAACCTTCCCAACCAAATGAAAAATGTAGAAAAATTCTGGTATGCTTTAATAGAGCAAAGCAAAACTTAGTTAAACGGACACTTGATGGTTCTTTTAGGTGAACCATTGTTTTACAAGAAATTGAAGTCTTTGTGCTATATTTAGGAAAGGTTGTGATACATGGGATGTCTCAGATTTGTTCATGGAAACTTAATCAGATAAATATTGGCAATTTATGATCTACAAGAATAAATGAGTAAACAAACTTTTCTAATCTTAGCTTGACCTGCATGTTTTTTCAGACTTGACTCCAATCCATTCCTTACATGAAGGCTCAATTTTCTCAGTATTTTGGGTTACTAGTTCAGCAGAAGCCAAGAAAAACAATAACTTTGTAGTAATCAGAATGTTATTCAACTGTATATTGTTTACTTTATTGTAAATACTGGTGAACAGTGGTCAATAAATAGTTTTATATTCCTTTATGTGATTACACTTTTTTTCTTTATCTGGTGACCTTTATGGTGGGAGTAGAGACACATTCATTGAATCAATAACATCATGTTTATAAGTATGATCAGTGGTATCACTGATAGCTTATTGTGAACGATGTCGGATTTGTGATCTCCGCAGATTTAGCTTTGGGACCAGGGACCAGGCTTGATCACTCAAGAGCTTTTGTGTAGCTGAGTTTTATTAAAGTAAGAAAAGGGACAGAGGAAGCTTCTGACACAGACATCAGAAGGGGGACGGGGAATGCCTCCCAAGCTAGTCTTGCCAAGGCCTTATATACTTTTTTCAGACCCACTCCCACAACATACATCTTTAATTAACAAGATTACAATGAACAATAGATTTTACTAGACCCACTCCATAGTATACATTTTAAGATGACAGGATTAGTCAAGTTTTTGTTAAGGAGAAACATCCTCTAGCTAGCAAGACTACATTGGTATATTGACCAAGACAAAGCAATGTAGAAAAGAATTTCTCCTTTTCTGCTTGAGAGCCCCAGACCCCTTTCTCCTTTTCTAGGGCTCCAGACCCATTTGTCTTTGGGAACCCTGGACTTCTTATCAACCTACCTAGGAATTGATCCTTTGAGTTTAGTAGTTTCAACTGGAATATGTATTAACATGAAAAGATTTTCTGACTAAAATTTCCAGTGATGCTTAAGAGGAACTTTTCATCAAAGTGAAATTTTGATACTTAGTTTCTAGGCTGTTGAAACTGCCATCTTAAATTATAGGTATTCTGAGGACTGTTGTGACAGTCACATTACTAATTTCAAAAGTTAATACAGAGAAAAGGAAAAATTTATACTAAACTGTTTGTTAACCTTTTTGTAGACCTGTTTGCTCTGAACAGGGGGTTTGTAAGTGATACAGAAACTTGTTTTGATCAGAAATTGACCCTGCATTGAGCATTAGACCATTTCTGCAAACTGTTGTCCATATATTTTAATATTATCTTTCTTGCGGTTGCTTTAAAAAGTCGCAAACTTGAGTGGCTTAAAACAACACATTTGTTTTAGTTCTGGAGGTCAGAATTCCGAAATACAATGTGAGGGCTTGTTCCTTCTGGAGGCTCTGATGGCAAAATCTGCTTGTCTCTGTTCCTAGAGGCCATCTCTTCCTTGGTTCCTGGCCCCTTCCTTCTTCAAAACCAGCAGTGTAGTGTAGTGTCTCAGATTATTTGACCTCTCTGTACTTCAGTTTCCTCATCTGTAAAACATAAATCATGATGAAATAATCATTGTGTGAGACACAGTGTCTTGTAAGTGGTGAATTTTTTATCTTGATTTTAATAGGGACACTGTAAGCTGTTGTATGGAGGTTCCCCAACTAAATCAGTTACTGAGTATGAACACTTACGTTGTTTGTAGTTTTATGCTTTTAGATGATTGTGAACATTCTTTTCCATAATGTATAGTAAGACTTGAGTAGGTACAGATGGATTCCCAGAAATAATTGAAGTCAAGCTTGTACTGATGTACTCTTCTATCAGTAGTCATCCCACATCTTCATTTGTACTGCAAATTAATACTGAGTCTGATTTTGTTGCCAGTCCAGTGGCATCTTGTTTTAATTTGCATGTCTGATACTTTTGTTGAGCATCCTTTTCATACCATTTGCATTTCCTTATCAATAAATTGCTAGTTTTACAAATTATTTTTAATTGGTAGGAGTTACTTATGTAGTAATATTTTTTGTTACAAATAATTTTCCTGCCAATTTTTTTGACGTGATTTATGAGATCCTTTTGTTGTAACAAATGTTATGTGGTCAACTGTTTTAAAAAAAAAATGTATATGAATGCACCAGGTCTTAGTCACAGCACAAAGGTCTTCCGTCTTTGTTTTGACATGGGTTCTTTAGTTGTGGTGTGCAGGATATAGTTCCCTGGTCAGGGTTCAAACTCTGGGCTCCTGGCATTAGGAGCACTGGATCTTATCCACTGGACCACCAGGGAAACTCTTTGTCAGTCTTTGGATTTCATGTCATGGTTGAAAATACCTCTCCCATTCTGAAGTTGAAGTTATGTGAATAGTCTTAAAATTTCTTCTATTTTCATTTTCTTCCTTGCATTTTTATAGTCAGGTGTTTAGTCAGAGATTTTGTTCCATATTGTGAACATACCTGATTTTTGTTTTCCAAGATGGACATCAATGCCTCTGAAGAAGTCAGATGTGTAGATAGCAGTTTCCCTGATCTCATGGATCAAAGAAAATAATGCCACTACAAAGAAAAATTTGCCCCACATATAAAACTGAAGTTTTTCTTTTTCATAAAAGGCCTGAAATGTGTTCAAATACCTGGACAGATTGGCATCAAGGAAAAGATAAAAATCTCTATAAGTTGAATGTGAATAGTGTGTGTATTTGTATGTCCACTGTATGATGTGCTTAGCTGCTCAGTTGTGTCCAGCTCTGCAACTCTATGGACTCCGTGTAAGCCTGCCAGTTTCCTCTGTCCGTGGGGATTCTCCAAGGCAAGAATACTGGAGTAGGTTGTGATGCCCTCCAGGGGATCTTCCCAACCCAGGGAACAAACTGGGGTCTCCTGCATTGCAGGCGGATTCTCTACCAGCTGAGCTACCAGGAAAGCCCCACCATATATGATACATAGACCCTTTTCTTCCGTTTAATAAATGAATTTGTACCCTTGAGCATTTGCTAAACAAGCGGAGCAATTTTAACAACTTAGCGCCAGTAGGTGACTTGGTATAACTAAGGAAGTTGTAGTAGGTGCCTATCTATCCCATTAATAATACTTCATAGTTCAGTTCACCTTATGAATGTATTTCCTGTAAATGTGCTGCACTATTCAGATAACAATCTTTAGCATATCTGCTAGTTGAGTATAAGGAGGGGGGGATTTAGAGTTCTTGGGTTTTATGGTGGGGTTTTATGTGTGTATTCTAAGAATTTATGTTAAAAGATTTCTGCAGGCAATCATGTTAACTGGAAAAGTACAAAAATATGAAATTGTGTTCATGGAATCTTTACCATTACAACCCATATTTTTTACTGTAAAAGCAAGCAGTATGAAAATCTCCTTGATCACACATAGGAATGGTTTCATTCTTAGAAGAAATACTCTGATAGTTGAATGACTACTGATTTTTATACTTTATCGCATTTAATTCTCAAAATAGCCTTCTGGAATAGGTGCTATTGACCCCAGATTACAAGTGAGGAAAAAGGGCACAAAAAGGCTGAAGGAAAGTCAAGGTCAGTTTTATGAACCAGAGCATTAACTATGCGAATAAAGAAGAGGGGACTGGCTTGAAGGTAAGAGTTTTGTCCGTAGTGACTGCCTAGTATGTGCTTGTATAATAAAGTAGTTTTGCATATAAAATGAGGTGATGGGGAGGTTAGGAAGAAAGGGATCCAGAATGATTCCTAAGATGCCATTTTTTCTGTAATGGATGACAATGTCATTTAGTGAGGAAGGGAAGCTAGGAGAAACCGTGAGGGGGGGGATATTAAAAGTGGCTTTGGACATATATTGAGATATTCCTTTGGTTAGTGTATTAGTACACATATTACATAATTTGGCCAAAAGTGAGACAACTAAAACTTTGATGAGGGAAGTTACTTGCTGGCCTGGAAACAAGAACAGTGGTTCAGATCATTGGTTCTGAAGCCTACCCTATTTTTCAATATTATTCATAAAACTAGGAGGATTATCATAACAATTTTTATCTCAGTATTTTTTCAATGTTCAGTGAAAAACACCTAGAGCTGAATCTCCAGTACTTAATAAGGACCAGATAAATATTACCATTCTCCACTGTAAACCTCAGGATGACTGCAACCCTGGACTGGCACAACCCCAAGACTCACCATCTCTGGTTTTTGGCTCTCTTCTTTGGAACTGATTTCTGCAAGTCAAAAACAAGTACTGACATCTCCCAGATCTCCAAGTCTGCTTCTATAGAAACTAAATTTTTCTTTCTCTGCTGCCCAATTCAAAATCCTGTAAGAGATCTGCTTGGGTTAGATGCCCTCCCTGGAACTATCAACTATAACCAGAGGGGTGGAGAAATACAATTAGATCAATCACTGGAAGAGTGCTTTCCAGAAAAAAAGTAGATATTTTTTATGAACAAAGTGTATAATGCAAAGAATTTCAGCCAATTTGAAAACACCTTCTTAAAATACCCTTTGAATTTGCCTTTTAGAAAACTTCTAATGTGAATATTTTCAGTGTTTTAGAACATCGTAGGACATCCTACCAACTCTTCAAATGAAGGTTGAAAATCTCTTTTACTTAAATATAAGTATTGGGGGAAAATTGACCTGTGAGAGTAAGACAAGAACATTGATATTTAAAACTGCTTTTAGCTCTGTGACTGTTACGGTAAATAGAAGTGCAAAGGAGACCGCTCAGCATGGCCGTGTGGTGCAAGGGTCTCACTCTCATGATCTAGGATTCTCTCAATGATGTCTTATTCTTGAATGGTTCTAAGTTGTTCTTGTCAGGGGGACCAAAGTTGGGAATGGATTATTGTGCCGTCTCGGTGATGTCATTCCTCACTTCTTAAAAATAAAACCATACATTCAATCTTTTATCATTATTCATAAATCCTGCATTTTAGCTACTTAAAGGAGAAAATAACGACACTGAAACTAAAATGACCTTTCATAGCAATCTTTTTCGTTACCAGCATACTCCAATATGACTATATATATCAGGCGCATTGGTATCCACCATCTCCTACATCTTCCCCGACACCTTTACTGGATACTGATAGCACCCTAATACAATGTCCTGAAGTAGTTGTTGTGGTATGTTAAGCTTATATTTTTCTCCAAATTCACTTTTTAGTATCTCAAAGCTCTTAGCCATTGATGAACAGTAGGAGAGAAACAAGTGGAAAGAGAAACAAGAGACAGATGTCTGGACAGGGGCAGAATCTACATGAGAATGGGCACTGAAAAATTTGAGACTGTGATTAATAAGCCAAAATAGATACATATTACATTCAGGATTCAGGCCCACACTTAACAAGGCCTTTTTGCTATTTCAGTAACTGAATGTCCTTGGATAGATCCCAGGGTGGACTCACTTTTAAGTGAATTCATCTTTCTAGCAAACAGTGTCACCATAAGGTTCCTACTACACCTTCTCACT